GAAATTCCAGAAGTCTGAAATTGGTAGTAATTCTCTTTGTGATTTTTTTTCAGAATGAGGAAGCAGATAGTAGCAGTTGAATCACATTCTGTCATTTGAGCACTCTTGTTTCTTGGCTCAGGGAAGCACTCAGCCCTTTTAATAATGGCAATCTTTGCTTTGTGGATAGCTCTGCAGTCCATGCTCTAGGCTGTAGAGCAGCTGCAGTTTCTTCTTGGTAACCGTTTCCTTCTTTCTTTACTCTCAGCCTCTTTGCTTCTTTCTTTACCCTCTCCATTCTCCATGTCCACCCAGCTCAGTGGCAGAGGACCCATCTGGAAAGTCTGTTGCCACAGGCTACAGAATCCACTAGGGAAATGGGAAAGCCATGTGCATATGGTAAACTGGGTGGCTCTCATAATCAGGTAAACAGTGTGGAAAGCTTGCTCACTCATGTGCAAGAACCAGTACTGCAGCTAAGCGGAGGACCTCCGGGCTTCAGGTATTGGCATTTGTACACAAGGCCTGCTCAGCCTGGAGCATTTTTATTTGTGATCCTAAAAGCTGATGAGCATTGCCACTTAAGCCATTCAACAATAACAAAACCTTAATTTTAATCCCAAGAAGAAAGCTACTTTTATTAAAAAAAAAAAAATTAAGCAAAGGGGGTGACATTGTCAAAAAAGAATTGTACTCATTATCTGACTTAGAAAACAGTAACCCCTCTGTACAACACAAATTAATAGTAATAAAATTATATTTAAAAAAATTGAGTGACAAAACTTGGTCACAAGTGACATTTACATGCAGTAAAGTGCCTTCTGTATCATCACAGTCTCTGGTGTTTTTTGTTTTACTCTTGATTTTTTTTTAATGTCCTCTCTTCCCTGCTAAGACATCTTTAAAACATCCAAGGCTTTTGCTACTGTGTTTTGCAGCCTGCAGCCTGCAGCTCTGCTCTCCTTCCTTCTTAGTGGCATCAGTCTTTAGCAAAATGCAGTATGGTCCGGCACTCTGAACATTTCTGAGTGTGGCTTGAGTTGGGAAGAGAGGAACTTCTTAGTTCCTGCCATTTGTTGGTATGATTTGGTCTCCTAGGCAAGCTTCAAAAACCCCACCCAGTACTAGGGATGAAATCTCTTCTTTCAACTTTTAGAAGCAGTGGTAGAGCCAGAGGGTACGTTTCTTCTCTCTCTCTCCCCCTTGTGTCTTTGTTTCCTCCAAGAAACACACAGGTCCTTAGAATTGAGAATTTACCCACAGTTGAAAATTCTGTGTCTCTTGCCTTCATGAACACAATATTGTTGGGTTATTTGGGTTGTATTTGTATATCTTTTCCATACTCAAAGGGTTTGCCTGTCTTGGCAGCCTGCTGACTTAGGCAATAATAAAGCCTCTGTGAGGTGTACAAGCAGCTGATGGCATGGGATGCTGAGGGGACTCCTCCAGTGGCTGGCTGTAATCTGCCAAGCTGGTGGTCAGAGCAGGCTAGAACAAAAGTTAGTCTATTTGCAAGCAAATTGGAAAATTAATGTGTTGCTTGTGTTCTTCTCCCCTTGCCTTTATCTTTGTTGAAAGGGAGAGTGCTCTGCAGGCCAACAATCTACAGAATGATCTAGGCAAAGACCCATTCCAGAGCCTTACCTGCCTTCACATTAGTTAGTGGAGTTCTAAAAAGGGCCCATGTTTACCTGTGCAAACTGCTTCATCCCTTAGAATTGACTAAGAGATCTCTATTATACTCACCATCCAAAATTGAACCTGTACTGGTCCACTGTTTTGACTTGTTCATGTTGCATATAGTTTATCATATAAATTAGCACTAATTTCTCTTTATATCATTGATGGGAGATTCAAGAGGAGTTAACTAGCTATCTGGCTGAAAAACAATAGGGATACTTTTTGGGGCAGTGTATTTTATAATATATATACGCTTCACGTCATTCCTAAAATGCTACAATATTGACAGTTCATTGAAAATGCCCTAGATGTTTTTTATACCTGTAACTGTTAGGACAAAGAGAACAGAGGTCATAGCATTGTAGCCACATCTCACTCACCCTGGTATAGGGAATAGACTTACTAAAGACCTGTGAGTCTCTTGACTAACTTCTCAGGGATGCTGGGCAGAAATGGTTATATTAGATATGAGAGGTCTTGAGTAATATTCCGTCCAGGTTTCTAAAAAATAAAGTGTGAGAAGATGGTTGAGAGGAACAGACTTTTCTGCTCTTCCATGGGTTGAAGTTAGCCTTAGAATATTATTAAATGCTTTCAAATCACTTTTGAGTTTCAAAAGTTTATAGGCAGGTCATTACTGCCAATCTTTGTTATTCTTCAAATAACAAATATGAGGAAATCATATACATGACCATACCCATCCAAATATTTTTTTCTCTTTCTCAAGGAGAGCTGTTGATAGATATGGTTTAAAGACAATGTTTAAAAAAGTAAAATTTCAGTGGTCAGTGGAGACATTTTAAGGTAAAAGATTAAGTTTAAAATGCAGATTGTGTGGTTCCAGTCACAGCACCACAAATAAATTAATAATAACTAAATAAGTAAATGTAGTTAGGTTTAAAGTATGCTTGGGTGAATGTGAAAATTGGCATTTGTGCTTCCTTTAAAATTTTAAGGGGACTAAACCTAATCATCAGTACAACCCAAAATCCTTAAGCATCTGGCAATTCTCTTAGAAAACCATACCCATCTCATATTGTTAAACGTATGTGTGCTGTTTTTGTAATGGTATATAACATTCTTACCACAAATGTTAATTATATTATGTATGTAGTTAATGTTGACTGACACTTTATTTTGATCTGCTGTAATCTACATGGGCCAAGAATTGTGTCAGACACTAAAGAATCCTGTAGTTGCCACACTTACGGGGAGTTGGCAGCTTAGGAGGAAGTAACACTGTCGTGGAGCTGATACTTGGTTGGCATTCCCTTGGCATTTAAAAAATTAGTAGAAGGTAAGCAGTGGTATAGCACAATGGTACAGTGTTAGCCTAACATGCAAAAGACCCTGGGTTCAATCTTCAGCATCACAAAAATAAATAAATATAAGAAGAACATCTTCTAATTATCCTTCATACTTTAAATCTAAAAAATTGTTCAGTAGCAAAGAAAGGGGCTCAAATAGCTCCACTGTTTATTTTAAAATGTGAAAGAACTCATGGAACACTAAAAGGTATGTATTATTTGACTCTTATGGAAAGGATATCAGTAAACAAGTATCTGAAGTACCTGTACATTACCTTCTTCTGGCCAGTTGACACTTATCTGGAACTTAATTTCACATTTAAAATTTTTTTAATTTAAAATTTTCTGAATTTTAAAATTCAGATTAAAAAAAAAATTAATTCTATGGGGGAAGTTAGAGTGAAAGAGACATTTTTCCAGCCAAACCTAAGATATTAAAACAGTAAATATAGAGAAGTTAGGCATGATGACACATGCTCATTATCCCAGCACTCAGAAAGTTAAGTCAGAAGGAGCAAAAGCTGAAGGCCAGCCTGAAAAGAATCAAAGGGGAAAACAAAAGAAAAAAGTACAACAAAAAGCTAGATAGCCCCAAGTTTATAAAACTTCAGATAGTATTTTCAGCAAATACCCCACCAGAGCACTAATAGCTAAATTAAATACTATTTTCTCACTTTCTCTCCTTTCCTTAGATTTACTTTGGCATTTATTCTGAAAGAAACTGTCCCAATAGCAGATGGCAGGAAATAGCAGGTGGCAGATTGAATAATCAGCCTCAAAAAATGCTAGTATTAGCCTGTCTTCAACTCTTAAATATAGCGCAAAATTCTTTAGCTCCACATTTTTCTCTTTAACCTTTTTTCTGTTTAATCTTTTGTGGGGCTCAGAAAATGGCCTACTTCCTCCATGATTAAAGAAAATGCAGGGACTTTAGCTGACATCATACATACTATCTGAGGATCCCTTCTAATCAGAACCAATAAACAAGAAGAAGGTCATTGAAGCCCTTTGTAAACCCTCCTTACAGCCTAGTCTCCACTTCAGCTTCCTCTTTCTTCATGGAAAACAGGGGCAGCAGCTTCCACCCAGGTGTTAGCAAAATGGACTCAACATACCAGCACTTGGATTCTTTTCCAAGTACCATTCCTTTGTGTGGGATTACTCTTTCGGTAGGTACATGTATGTAGGGCCTTTAAGTGCCATATGGGGCACTGTTGGAAGCAAGAAGATAAGGACTGAAGCCTTAAGCCGTAAGGAATAGAAATCGTGGGTCTGGACAGGTGAACGTGAAATTTGCTCCACTTTTAATTTTTTTCTTCTTTCAAGTCATTAAAGAGTATACCAGTCTTTTAAGTGCCATAAACAATGTCAGTGTTACTCAAAGCTGAATTCCTTCTAGAGTTGCTATTCTGTTCTGTTTTTCTTTTCTTGTCTTCATGATTTATTTTATTTCTGCAGTAGTAGTTCAACTTCATATCTCCCTTCTAATACAATACATGTTTACATAATGTCATGGTTAGCATTTTCTCAATTATTCATTTAAACCTTATATTACAACAAGATAGTGAAACAAGGGGAATTGAATGAGGAGTTTTTCTTTTTTTGTAATCTCCTTATGATTTTGCCTCCTCTTTCACATTTCAAACTTAAAGTTAGGGCTGGGAAGTTGGCTCAGTGGTAGAGCACTTGCCTTGCATGCATGAGGCCCTGGGTTCGATTCCTCAGCACCACATAAGCAAGAAGAAAAAAGCCGGAAGTGGCGCTATGTCTCAAGTGGTAGAGTGCTAGCCTTGAGCTGAAGAGCTGAGGGACAGCGCCCAGGCCCAGAGTTCAGGCCCCACTACCGGACCCAAAAAAATGAATAAATAAAAATAAACTTTAATGAGTTTTAACCTCTAAGGTTTATTAGTTGTTGACCTTCATGACTTTTGGTCACAGTGACTATGTTCAATATATGTTTGCGATGAGGGCCTGCTAATAGTTGTGTTTAACATTGACATTTAAGTGATAACACCACTTTTGTGTTTTATTTAGATTTCGACACAGTCCCAACTGCTGGTACCTAAAAGACTGGACTGTCCACACCTGGATTAGGCAGTGTCTAAAGTATGGTGCACAAGACAAAGCCTTATATACCCTTGTCAACAAGGTGAGTGGTTTCCTGGGATGTGTCCCCAATTTAGACAATGTACTATTTGTACATATTACAGTACAGCTTTTTTTTTTTTTAAGGACTGGAAATCACTTTTTAAATTATTTGCCCTCAGATCAGGCTGAGTATGATTCCTGTGGCTGTTTATTTTCCAAGCAGAGTGACCCAGGAAAGGTGGGGTTAAAGTGAAAGGTAGTTCAATCAGAAGAATTCTGAACTGGTGATTATTCATTCTTTATCCCCAAACCTGGGATTTTGTTTGCCTGGTTTCCCTTGACAAAGTTTAGGAGAGGAAAAAGCTGGCCAAATTTTGGAGACAGTATTCCTAGGTAATTCATTCTGTCATTAAGTTCTGGCTGTTTGCCTTACACTCCTAGAAACGGGATCAAAATAAAAGTATAAAGTCTTGTTGGTTCAATCTCAAACTAAACAATTATTTGAACAACAAAAGTATTTTAGCGATATTTTTACCAAAATGTACAATAATGTGTCTGGACCTTGAAATTTAATGCTCAAACAGAGTATTGATTTTACGTTTGGGTCACCCCTATGAGGAGTGATTTTCATTCCCATGATTTGGGCCTACTTCAGTATAGCATACATTTGACCCAATTTATGTGTAAGATACTGAATTGGTAATAGATAAAAAATTGAGCAATAGCCCGTTCTTGCACTCAAGAAGCTGACAATTAATAGGGCTGATAAGCAGATTCAGTGAGAAGACTAATATTAGGTAAATAAAAGTACTACACAAGAATACCTGTCCAAAGAAAGTTGAGATGAAAAAGTCCAGTTGGGAAGAAAGAACCAAAAAAAGATGTGAGGTTCCTTTTAAGCTAGTTAGCAAAAGATGCATGCTTGAACAATAACATGTTTCCCTCATTCCTGGAGTACAAGGTATGCGAAGGGGGACTGAGTAAGGGATGTGGTAAGAAACTGAGCAAGGCCGCAGACATGGGATAGTCAACATAATGGCAGAACTTCAGCAAATAATTTTTTCGTTCTAGGTCTTCATTTTTCCAACTCCAACTTAAGTGGTTTATACTGATTTTCAACTCTGGCTGCCCATTAGTCACTCAGGAAAGTTTTAAAAAATTAACAGATGCTTGTCTCTATCCTTCAGACTCTAATTTAATTGTTCTTGTGGGTTTTCTGCTTTTTAAAATAAATTCTAGTATTTTAGGTCCATTTCAGGTTTACCAAAGAACTGAGTGGAAAGAGATTTCTCAATATGTCCTGCCCCAGTACATACATAGCCTCCTCCATAACCAACATCACACCGCTGGAATGACTCATCCCTTAGAATTAATGAACTTGCACTAACATAATGTATCACCCAAAGCCCATGCCTTACATTAGAACTCATTCTCAATGTTGTATATTTATGGATTTTGCCCTTTAAAAAAAACTACTGTAGTCTGCTTCTTAGTATTATCATTTGAAGTTCCCACTTGATTTTAGTTTATGGTAAGGGATGGGAATCAAAGACCAGTTGATTTCTAAGGTCCCTTTCAACTTTAATGATTTATTATCCCAAGATGCTTTTGTTTTACCCTTCACCTAGGGATTCTTTCTGGTTTAGCTGACTACTTTGAGAAATGTATGTACATGAAAATCACATAAGAAGAAACTCATGTCCATATCCAATTTTAGATTCTGATTCTGTGGGCAGGAAGGTTAAGACACTAGGGTTAAGCACTCCTAGAAAATTCTGAGCATCCACATTTATTCTTAAATTTTCTATCTGAGTTGTCACATACTCAGCTGCTGGTAAACACAGTATCCTAGGAGTGTGGCTAGGAAGACATAACTGTTCTTATATTTATGGAGACTTTAAAAGACAGCATGAGAAAATGCTATTCAAATGTGTGCTTTCTCGAAACTAAGAACCCAGTTTTGCCTTGTCAGTTACACCTTATAAAAAGAATCATGAACCAGTGGAGGCATTATTGATTTGTTGGTGTTCTTGGTTTTGTTTGTGTTTTTTTTTAATCTTATTTTCAACTGTGATGAGTTATTAGTATTGAGCTTTATTTTTCACATCAATTGTCATATGTGAGACACCCACTCACGATTTTCTCACCTTGACCAACAGTTCCAATTACCAAACCTTATGAGTCACAGCTTCTATTTCACTGTCACAGATGCTGTAAAATGATAGTCACATAGATTAAGGCCAGTGGTGGTGAGTTTTATCCTGAATAATACATATAGGTATGTGTTTCAGACTGAATCAAAGTAGATGTGTTTTTCTTCTGTTTTTCTTTTTATCTTCATTTTTATTACAGGTTCAGTATGGAATTTTTCCAGATAACTTTACATTCAATTTACTGATAGATTCTTTCATAAAGAAAGAAAATTACAAAGGTAAGAAAACAAAAGACTCAGCTCTTTATTAGAGTGTCTTCAGCCCCCAAAGGGGAGTGTATAAATATAGTCACTTTTCTCTTTTGTAATTTTTTTTTTGGTCATGGGTCTAGAACTCTGGGCCTGGGCACTGTCTCTCAGCTCTTCATCTCAAGGCTAGTGCTCTATTACTTCCAGTTTTCTGGTGATTATTTGAAGATAATTCTCATGGACTTTCCTGTCTAGGCTGGCTTTGAACCACGATCCTCATATCTCAGCCTCCTGAGTAGCTAGGATTACAGGCGTGAGCCACCAGTGCCCAGCTCCTTTTTAATTTCTTAATATTTTTATATCACTTTTTTAGTCAGAAATACTTTAATGAAGATTTTATCATCTATGCAAAAATTATCATCTATGCAAGCTGATTGAAATGCAAGATATAAATAAAGGATTAAGTAAATTAAAAAAGTTTTCACAAGTCATTTTGGATTCTGTAATGAACATTTGGCAGAACTTGGTTGTTTTTTTTTTTTAAAAAAAGAAAACAGATTTTTAGCCTTGTGTTCTTTTAAAATATTATTGGTTTGTTTATTTAAAAGAAAATCTCTACCAGGTTTTTGTTTTACTGGATTTCCTTGATAACTTCCTGTCTGCCTGTCTATCTCAGTTTCCCTATTTGTAGGAAGAACGTCAAAAGTGATGCCTTTGGCCTCCTTCAGGACCAGGAGAGCACATGGCTAGGAACCAGCTGGCTAGGAACAGCTGCAAATCATGCTCACTCTTTTATAGTTATAAATATATGCAAAGTGAACAGAAGAACTCAGTTGAAAGCATTTCTTGTGTTTGTACTATGTGCAGGCATTATGTTTCAAACTGATAATTAACATCCACTTTCACTTTCCATCTAAGGACAGGAAATTATTTGAACTTTGTTTTAACTTTCATCTAGGTTGTAGAGTATCAAAGGAAAATAAAACTTGTTCAAGTCCTGCTCTCCCAGCATTCATGTGGTGAATAGCCTACATTTTATGTTGTGATCTAGAGCTTATAATTTATAAATAAACGTTTTCCTTTTCCTTCTTTCAAGTGCTTTGAACCCAGTCTGGTTTTCCCTGTTATACTCATTTGTTTTCTATCTTTGAAAGAATACCTGGGATTTGAATGTCCTCTGGCCTTTTTCCTCTTCTGCCTCAACAGGGAGGCGCTAGAGCAGAGAATGAGGAGACAGCCAGCCTCTGCTCTGCGTGCCAGGGTGACCATGAAAATGGTATGCCTCCTTTCTGTATGCCTTAGCACTGAGCTGATGGACACGGTGCCTTTAGTAAGCTGCCCGATTTGTGAGGCATTTTCATATGTATCATCTTGTTGGATTGTTTAAAATTCTTTAGAAGCAGATAAAGCAGGTAGTCTGTTAGCATTAAGAAAAAGATAGTAGGAGCCAAGACAACGTGTTTTTGTTTTTAGTATCCATGAGTACTATATCAATGAAATAGCACCTGATTTAGCACATTACAGTGTGTCCAATAGAGGTGTGGGAAAGACCTACATTATAAAAGAAGTAGGAACCAAGTCCACTTTTTCTTTTAACTGTTTAATTCTGCTAATTTTTATGCATTGTTCTGCTTTTTATGAATACTTGGCAGTTAGAAATCTGGTAATGTTACCTACAGCTGATTTCCTCTGTTTTCATTTTCATCTTCTTACCAGATGCTTTATCTGTGGTTTTTGAGATCATGATGCAAGAAGCCTTTGAAGTGCCTTCCACCCAGCTGCTCTCCCTCTACGTTTTATACCATTGCCTGTCAAAGAAGACGGGCTTCAGTGTAAGTGATCTGCCATAAGCAGTCCTGAGAGTGTGAATGGAGAGCAAGCAGTGGCTGCTCAGTTGGGTGGGGGTGTCTCTGCTCTCAGTCTGGAAAAGAATACTGAAATACAGCTCTGTGGCCATGAAAAATTAGAAATGAGTCCTCATTTTGTACATTTTAGTTTTGTGGGTTTTTTAGCAAAGTAGAACTGGATGTTTCTCTACTTGAAAGAATCCCAAGTGAAAGCCCCTGTACATGTTTGTTTTGAAGACTGTTTTTTGTATCAGTTCTGAGTCTTGAACTCAGGGTGTAGGCACTGTCCCTGAGCTTTTTTGCTTGAATCTAGTACTCTACCCCTTAAACCACACGTCCACTTTCAGCTTTTGGGTGGGTGGTTAATTGGAGATAAGAGTCTCACAGACTTTCCTGCCTGGACTAGCTTTAAACAGTGATCCTCAGATCACTCCTTAGTAGCTAAAGCTACAGGTATAATCCACCAGTGCCCAACTTTTGTTTGGTTTTGTTTTTTGGACCCGGACTTAAATCTAGGGCCTAATTCATGCTAGGTAACTGCTCTACCACTGAAGTATACTCCCAGTCCATGTGTATACTTTGAAACTTGGCACTAGTCTGAGTGACCTCAGACATTCAGAAATGGATTGTTGCTAACAATTGAGCACTAACCTGACAGGGACACGTATATCAAAGAGTCAGCTTGTGGGCAGTTAACTTTGACTGTGATCTAGGTACTAAATATAATTTACTTAGTGTAAGTAATTTTCCCAACATTGCTCTAGGCCAGGTATACTGAGATCCAGAATGCCAAGTTTTTTGGTTTCACTTCTGAAGTTAGAATGTTTTTAGTCATTGTTATTGCTAGTCTAAGAATAACAATAAGTAGTAGCAACAGTCATGGTTCTTTATACCAAACTGTGCTCTTGGTATTATAAATGAATGAATGTCTTTAATCTTCACAATAACTCCATGCCAACAAGGTTCAGGCTAGAGATGGTACAGAATAACCACCAGCAGGTAGGAGATGCAAGCAGTCTGGCTCTACAGTCTGCTCTTATCCTCAAATGTAACATCAGAAAATCTCAGTTTGGATAGGAACTGAAAAGATTATCTAAGCAGCCCACATTCTAAAGAAGTGATAATGTTATGCCTTATTTAGATAAATGTCATAGCCTGTGATGTATGCCAGGTTTGTTTTTAAGTCCTACAATAAATACTGAACACCTATCCATTCCATACATTGCCAAGTACTAGTTATACAAAGCATTTTGAACAAGCATTTCCTGCTTACAATCTAGGATTTGAAAAGAAACATTTAGCTACAAAATGATGACCATAATGAGCACTTCTGGAAAAAATTCTATGACAACTGTATTATAGGAAGTTGGTATTTGTATTTTCAACTTGAATTGGTTAGGAAGAGTTTCCTTAAAGAGTATTTCTTGGGTTAATATTTGAAAGATGAATGGTCATCAACTGGTGGAAGAAGGGAGGAACAGTCCAAAAGAACATAATAAGATGTTCCAACTTCCTGTGGCAGAAAGAACATGGGAAGCACAAAGGGGCTGAAGGAAGCCAGGCACAGTGGTGTGTGCCTCTCTACTAGTGGGGAGACTGAGGCACGGAGATTGTTTGAGTCCAGGAGTTCAGGGACAGCCTGGGCCACATAGTGAGACTGTCTCAAACAATCAAAGAGGGTGATGAAAGGTGATCATGTCTACAACAGGAGGCCTTAGATGATGAAAGTTGAAGAACATAGACCAAGCTAGGCCATTTCTCCTCATCCTAAAAATAGTGAGGAGCCACTGGAAAATTTTAAACCAGAGTATCATGATCAGAGCTGTGTTTTGAAAAGATCTCCCCACCCCCCAGGATATAATGTTGATAAGAGATCAGAGCAGAAGTCTGGCCCAGCAATGGCCCACCAGACTTTTGGGGAAGTAAATAAAGGGATGAGAAGCAAGATTTGGAGGCAGGAATCAGGCAAATTCCCAGTTCCTGACTCATCTGAACTGAAGGGGTGCCATATGTTCACTAAGGGAACTCTGGGAAAAGAGTGGATTAATGAAGAAAATCATTAATTTGCCTCCGAACGTGTTGCAATTTGAGATGCTTTGAAACAGTCAAGAGATTAAGAAAAATATTTCAAGGGGGAAGTGGGGACTTAATGGAAAGTTGTGAATTAGGGATATGATTTTGGAGATTAACTTATACAACACGTTAAATAATTACACTGTACCCCATAAATATATACAAATATTGTGTTAACTAAAAATTCAGTAAGTAAGAAGAAGAAAAAGCAGGAATGCAGTGGATCCACAATTCATGGGAAAAAATGATCTGAGAGAGTAGAGTAAGAAAGTTCATTGAATTTTGTGACACGGAAGTAGAAGGTTATAACCTGTGGCTTCATAGAATAACAGGGCAGGAAACAAAATTGAAGAGGATTAAGGAATGAATTAGAGGTACAGAAAGGAGACAGCACATAGATAATGCTTGAGATGTCTGACAGGAGAAGGGAATGGCGGTGGATAAGGGCTTGCAGTAGCAGCTGAATTCATCTATGTGGGTTGAATGTCTATTTGAAATGCTAGGGACCAGAAATGCTAGATGTTAGCTTTTTATTAATTGTACATACATAATGAGTTAGTTACTTTTTCGTAGAACTCAATTCTAAGCACATGCTAAGGTTTTTTTATACACCTTATCCACATAGTCTAACTGTAATTTTATATAAGGTTTTTTGTAATTTTGTGCAAGAGCCAATGTTTTCGTGGTGTAGAATTTTCTATGTGTGGCATCATGTGCTCAGACAGTTTCAAATTTTGGAGCATTACAGACTTTTTGATTATGGATAGTCAGCCATATTGTTTCAGTCTCCATCCCTACGCATTTGATTCCAAGCATGTCAAGGATAGCTGTGGCTTATGTGCTCTGCTGCTTGCTTGGCTCTAGTGTATGCAAATGCTTAGCTTGTATTTTCCCTATCAGAAAACAATAACAGCAACAACGAACCTCAGGCTTCCTTATTTGTTATTCACTGAGTCTGTCAGGTTGTCTGTAGAGGAAATCAAAGCTTCCCAAGACTAAAACGGCTTACTTTTGAGGGTAAAATTACTTGATCCTTAATTCCTAGCTCATTTCCTTTACCTGTCTGCTTTAGAAGTTCCCAGGGTATCTGCTTTTTTCAGAAGTTTAGAAAAACACCAAGAAGTGGCCCTTGTTTTACACAGTGCTGTTCATAGTTAAGAGGTTGGAGTACCTGTAAACATCTGGGTGCCTCACTCAGACCTAGCAGCAGTTGTAGTTCTGTTCCTGTTTTACTTCCTCTCCTCCCTGGCCTGAGTACAGAGACTGAGCTGCTGGGGCTCTGTGTTCTGTTTAGAAGCCAGACCTAGTGCTGTGGCTCCTACCAGCATGAGCTCACTGGGCACTGAGGAGAGCACAGCTCCTGTTGTGGGGCGGGGGAGGGCTTGCCAGGGCTGTCCCCTGGGCCCTCTGTTTCCAAGGAGCCCTCTCATCTCTACTGTTACTTCCTCCTCCCCCCACTCCCCGCCACCCTTTTTAATGGCTCAAAGGCTTTGATTTTATTGAAGTATAATTTGGCATCCTGGGTTGAAAAAAAATGATCACTAAGTGTTTCTGGTTGCCTAATTTGTTTTTAAAAGGTATAAATCTATCTAAAAGCAACTTAATAGTGGTATTTATTTTAACATTGTGAAGGAAAAGTCCTACCATTACTGAGTTGTGAAAAATTAAAAGCTTGCTGCATTGCAGTGTGACTGAATAGACAGCAGACAGCATGTGGAATCTTCTTTGATTCCCCCAAGCTAGTATGGATCCAGAGTGCACTCTTTGTGTTCATTTTGTTTTCTTTTTCTGATTGAAAAGGGAGCTCTTAATCATTGCTGAAGTTTAGAAAATAAAGTACAAAGAAGAAAATGAAAAGTACTCATGTTTACTCTAGAAATCCATTAAATATGTACAGTATTTCTGTTATATGTTTTTCTTGAAGTATAAATGCCTTTTTTTTTTTTTTTGTCAGTTGTGGGGCTTGAACTCAGGACCTGGGAACTGTCCCTGAGCTCTTTTGCTCAATGCTAGCCCTCTACCACTTTGAGCCACAGTTCTACGTCTGGTTTTTGAGTAGTTAATTGGAGATAAAAGGCTCACTGGGACTTTTCTACTCAGGCTGGCTTTGAATCACTATCCTCAGATCTCAGCCTCCTGAATAACTAGGATTACAGGCACAAACCACTGTGCCCAGCTCATAAATGCCTCCTCCCCCCCTCCCCCTCCCCCTCCCCTTTCTTCCCCCTTCCTCTCCTCTCTCTCCCTCTCCCTCTCTCTCTCCTCTCTCCCCCCTCTCTCCCCCCCTGCCCCCCCCTCTCTCCACATACACTTTGTTACTTAAGGCTATAACAAGTTCTTTTCCCTTATGTCTGGCATGTTCTGTTGCAGTGGGAAGAGGAGAGGAACTTTGGTGCATCCTTGTTACTTCCTGGCCTAAAACAAGAGAACTCAGTGGGGTTAAGTTCCCAGTTATATGGCTATGCACTTCTTGGTAAGCTAAGTGATTCTTATAAATATGAGTCTTCATGGATAGACTTGCTGTAGTCCTATTTTGTGATAAAATTGTGATTTGTGAAGTTCTAATTACATCTTTCAATTTTAGACATAAAAATTTTAAGTGGCCTTAAAGTTATGACATAACATCCTACCTCTCCACTGACAAGGTGAGAACTGGTACAGGTGGCTGAAGATAAGATTTAGTTTAATTACCAAGAGGAAGGAATAGAGGGAAGAACATTCCAGCACACTATGGAGAAAGCCAGCCAGATCTTTTCTACTATTAACAGAGATCTTTCTGTCTTTTTCTACCCAAAGTCCAGGAGGTAAGAAATGAAGAGTTGGGCTGAACTTGTCTTTGACTTTATTTTCAGGTAAGGGAAGAGAAATGCAGAGAGCACAAATTTGAGAGAAGTATGAGCCATCCATTAATCCAGAATAACTGTACGGAGTAGTGTGGTAGTAGCTTAAGTTTAGTGTCCTGATTGCTTTGACAATGAGACAGGTCCAGAGGAGAGGCCTCAGCACCTGGGTTTTTAGAGTCTAACCTAAATGTGCATGAAATGTGTTCCAAATGGAGTTTGTTAAATGTATGCTATTTTGTTATTCTTTCACTCTCTCTTACATAGTTATTAGGCCTCTCTTGACAATTCATTGTTTCTGCACACCTACCTTTGCACTATGAAAATCATCAATGGTGTAAGAGTTAAATGATTGATTTTTTTTTTTTGGTCAGTTGTGGGGCTTGAACTCAAGACCTGGGCACTTTCCATGAACCTCTTTGTGCTTACAACTAGCACTCAACTACTTGAGCCACATACCACTTCCTGGTTTTGAGTGCTTAATTGGAGATAAAAGTTTCTGCCCAGACTGGCTTCAAATTGTGATCCTCATATCTCAGCCTCTTGAGTAGCTATGATTACAAGCATGACCCACCAGTGCCTAGCATTAAGTAGCTTTTAAAATTGACCTTTGTCAACAAAATATAGTGTGGCAATATTGAATTCTGATTTTGATATAAAGTAACAGATATTTCAGACAGGCTGTTAAACTAGCACAAAAATGGAGCACCTTTTTTTCTGGCTTTTGCCTCCACCTCCCTAATGCTGGGATTATAGATGTGTTCTACCATACCTGTCCTGACAACTCTTTAAGAATCCCTTTTTCCGCCGGGCGCTGGTGGCTCACGCCTGTAATCCTAGCTACACAGGAGGCTGAGATCTGAGGATCGCGGTTCAAAGCCAGCCCGGGCAGGAGAGACTGTGAGACTCCTATCTCCAATAAACCACCAGAAAACCGGAAGTGGCGCTGTAGCTCAAGTGGTGGAGCGCTTGCCTTGAGCTGAAGAGCTGAGGGACAGCGCCCAGGCCCAGAGTTCAAGCCCCAGGACCGACCAAAAAAAAAGAATCCCTTTTTCCTTCTTTGCCACCTACTTCTAGTATTGAGTTTAATGTGTTTTCATTTGCATTTCGATTTGCATGAATGTTCAGGAAGTTGGCAAGTCTAGGAAAATGTATTTTGTGGTTATTTATGAGCAGAGATTGGTCCCCATCAAATGAGAAGCTCTTTGCTCTCTGTGTTATGCTATGCAGCTTTATTCAACCCATAAGCAGTAGCCAGAATGAGACTTTGAGTAGCCTGAAGCATCTTAAAGGTCTAAAATTAGCAGTCGCCTGATAAGCTTTGTCTGTTTGTATCCTGCTATAGCTTTCTCAAATCCTCCTTCCCAGAAAAGATAAGTGGAGGTAAGTTTAAGACCTGGCAGCTCAAGGTGACCTGCTCTACCACAGGGACAGTTTCCTGTCCCTGCAGGAAACCTGCAGCTTGAAGCTTTGGTTGATCATTTGAAGAGCCCCAAGGGAATGTTCATGTCCTGAAACCCAAAAAGATCTCCAGAATGCTATAAATTAATACAGTACCAATGAGCTCAAACAAAGAAAAAGAGAAAGGAAACATTTTTTCCTCATTAAGACAGTAGACTGGGTGCTTTAGCACTTTTCAAAAAAATGTCAAACATTTTCCTGGCAAAGGAAAGTTACCAGAAGTTGATGAAGTTTTTACTGTAGGAAAGTTGTAGGATTTCTTTTCCTGAGGAAGATTTTTGGTCCTGAAAATAGTATTTCCGTTATCTTGTATTCTAAGGGTATCCTCCTTAGAGGCAGATATGTCAGCCTGTGGAAATTTCTCTCAGCCTGGGTATTCATACACTCAAGAGAAAGATAAGGTTTATGTTATTTCTCACTTGGAAAATGTACTGGTTGATTCCTATGCATTCCTCCTCCTCTGGGCCACTGGACAAGATGAGGCTGTTGGTGCAGATCTAAAATGATCCTGCTCTGGTCTAGAGCTGGGAAGCTAATATCCACTTATACCTTGAAGTCCTTGGTCTCAGCCATAGCAGAAAGACACGGCTGAACATTCATCATTGTTCTTTCTGGCTCCAGGGAAGGTGGAATTGCAGCGAGGGCTACGGGATGTGTACCATAACATGCCTCTCCTGTGGAAGCCAGGCTACCTTGACAGGGCCCTTCGAGTGATGGAGAAAGCGGCTGCCTCTCCGGAGGACCTGAAGCTGTGTGGAGAAGCGGTGGGTCCCTCGTCTTAGCTCAAAGACATTCAGATATCTTTGTTCCTCTTCGTAAATAGAGTTTTGAATTTGCTCCTTGTCTTTCCCTTCCTTGATTTCTGTATTTTACACAGAATAATCCATTTGAAAGGGAATGAAAAGTAAAACACATTTTCAATAATACTGAAAAAAAACACTAGAAAATAAGACTACTGTAATGTTGATGTATAGCTCTTTGTCTTGAACCATGATGTTTTACTGATTACCAAGGTGAAAGGTCCCTCTGGAGCCACTTACTCGTTTAGCCTTGACTCTGATAACTAAGGCTCACCCTTAATTTCATTTCAGTCATGAAATCCAGGTCCAGGTGTACACTGGCACCTTCTACCAATGACTAGTGAGTTACATTCTTAGCCAGACTTTTGTAACAAAAGAATAAATACTTCCAATAGAAATAAACATATCTGGGGCTGGGAAAGTGGCTCAGTGGTAGAGCGCTTGCATGCATGAGGCCCTGGGTTCAATTCCTCAGTACCACATAAAGCAAAAAGAAAAAAAGCCAGAAGTGGCGCTGTGGCTCAAGCAGTAGAACACTAGCCTTGAGCTGAAGAGCTGAGGGACAGCGCCCAGGCCCAGAGTTCAGGCCCCATGACTGGACCCAAAAAAAAAAAAAAAGAAAGAAAAAAAAAAAGAAAGAAACATATCTAAATAAGTTCATTTTAAGCCTATTGTAGTCAGTACTGGTGACAGCAGACATAAAATTACACATAAACTCTTTGCCAGAGAAATATTCCTTCCAATCTGAGCCACATTTACATTTCTCTTATTCTAACTTACTTGTATCAGCAAGAATGTGCTCTGCATCCAGTTTGGGTAGAATGTATTAGAAGTAGCATGTCCTGACATGATATGGGCAGAATTAAATGGATATCTGAGCAGATGCTTATGATAGCTTTGCTGATATCTCTGTCCTATCTCTGACCATAGACCTTCCATGGGTATCCTTGTGATATCACAGTTCACTTATTGCATCTTCACTGTATCGCAAGCTTAAAAAAGAAATACATAGTGATCTCTCACCTCATTCAGGAGCTATGTTCCAGAGACCCCTCCACCCCCCCCCACACCCCCCTCCCCCACTATAGGTGAAAATCCACAAAGTAGCAATAAGTGAACTGCCATATAGTGAGGGGCGACTGTCTAACACTGCTCTTTCGCAGATTTTCACCTATCCGGGGGTATCTGGAACGTAACTCCTTGGATAGGTGAGGGATCACTGTACCCCAAAATGGAAGCAGTGGGAGGAAAAAAACACTTAGTTCTTTAATTTGCTTTTTGGGCAAGATTCAGAAATCAGCACACTAAAAGGAATTTCATGAATGCCTTGTAGGCCTCTGTCCACAGCTTGTGTAATAGTTCTCTGAGCCCAGATCTGTCCCTGAAGGAGGCTTCACAATGGTCTTTGCTGGTTTGAGATCTGTGGTGGTCTTCCCACTTTGTCCCAATTCCAAACTGATTCCAAAGAAAACCTAAAAGAGAAGGTACTTTATTTAATTCCTATGAAGAGCAATTCTACCTGGTGACTAAAGCAAACCTGAATATACTATTGTGCTGATTCTTTCATACAAATAGCCCTCAGCTTGTTTTTATATACCCTTTGTTTTGTACTGTTTTCCATACCATCTGATGTGCAAAAAAATAAAAGTTGCTATTTTTTTTCCTAGTCATATTAGGGATTGAACCCGGGGCCTCATGCATGCTTAACAAGGGCTCACCCACTGAGCTACACTCCCAGCTATTTCTTACAATGATCAGAGAAAAAAAAAAATCTCATGCTTTTTCTCCCCTTTGTTTCACTTTCTCTGCCTTTCTTCACTAAGTGCTGTGAGGTCACGTGATGTGTCAGTCCTCTCTCTTCTGCCCACAGCTCGATGTGCTGGACAGAGTTCTGAGAACACTGACTTCTACAGCCAACCAGGCCTCAGAAACACAGTCTCAAGAAGGCGAAGACAACCAGGGCTCAGTAAACCTGGTAGAGCAGCTGGATCTAGAGGAGCCTGAAGAGTCCAAACTTCCCCAGTACCTGGAACGATTTAAGGTGTGCATAAAACATGTTCCTCTCCTGTGGTGACTGACAGGCAATCTTTTCTTACATCAATGTCACACACAAAAGCATTAGAAACTGACATAAAGAAAACAGTTTTTATTCCTTCACACAGGAAGTGGCCTTAACAAGAACCAATGGAATTTTTATGCTTCTTTTTTGCACTTGAGCTCATCAGTCACAGTTTGGTTCACTAAGGTACTCATTGCTGGTATGCACCTCCTAGGGGGATAACAGCTTGCCTCCTCTAACAATAACTGACTCCCACGCTGGGTGTAAAATGTCTGGTCATTTTCCCCTAGTATACTGAATGTACTTGGTCAGAAACCTAGCAGATATGACAGAGCCACATTTCAGCAGGGAGAGGCAAGATGCAGACATACTTTATCAGTCATTGTGGACAGCTTTGTTCAGTCCACTCCATCCGTTAGAAATACTGTCTTAGACTGAATGTAATATGTATACAGGTTTCCAGAGCAGCCCTGGGCATTTAAGCCATCTTTGGTCGCTTTCAATGATGTATCCCAGAATAGTTTGTGATCAGTGTCAGGAAGAACCATGTGCAGTGCTTAAACCCATGGCCTCCTTCTTTGTTTCTTGTCCATGAAGGCAGAGAAGAAACAAAGTGCTGCCTGAATAGGAACTGTGTACAGAGCAGGAAGCATTCCCGTCTGTGCCAGCTGGCCTGTCTGTTGCAAAAGACAGAAGTTTTGCTAGGTTATTATATTTAAGTCTAGGTCATAATGCTATTACACCGTTATGGGAAACTTCTTCCCCTTGTTTTAAGGGAGATCATTGTTGAATTTTTATTTATTTATTTATTTGTCGGTCATGGGCCTGAATGCTGTCCCTCAGCTCTTTAGCTCAAGGCAAGCCCTCTACCACTTGAGCCATAGCACTGCTTCCTCATTGTTGAATCTTAAGCATTTATTTCTCCCAGTATTTTTTTTTTTTTTTTGTGAACATACTGTACAGAGGGGTTACAATTACATGGGCAAGATAATGAGTACATTTCTTATCAAGCATTGCAGCCTCCTCCTTTGTTTACCCTTCACATCCCTTCCTAGCCTCCCCCCGCCACCCCATCCAATTCTCCCCCCACCTCCACACCAAAGTTGTAAAGTTCGTTTTCGACATGACAACTTGTACTTCTCATTGTTGCAACGGGTCCACCTATATATATCCTTAAACGACTTGTTTTTTCCCCATCTCCTCCACAAATTATACCGACATCAAATATAGTGAAAGCAAGGGTTATACTGTGGGGGAGGGACATACAATAAAGAAATAATCTTATAAATGCGTTAGAAACAAATGCATGAAAGAAAAAAACATTTAAATACATATCTAAGGGTTCCTAACATCACCTTATCTGACCTTTTCTGCTTGACTCATACATATACTAGATATTGCAAATAAGGGAAACCATGGGACCTATGTTTCTTTGGGCTTGGCTTACTTTACTTAATATAATTTTTTCCAAGCCTTTCCATTTCCTAACAAATGGGGCAATGTCATTCTTTCTGATGGAGGCATAGAATTCCATTGTGTATATATACCACATTTTCTTGATCCATTCATCTACTGAGGGGCATCTGGATTGGTTCCATATCTTAGCTATGGTAAATAATGCTGCAATAAACATAGTCGTGCTGGTAGCTTTAGTGTAGTCTTATTTGTGAACATTTGAGTAAATGCCCAAAAGTGGGATTGCTGGGTCATAGGGGAGCTCTATGTGAAATACTGCTTTCCAAAGTGGTTGAACAAATTTACACTCCTACCAACAATCTCCCAGTATTTCTGAAAGGTCACTCTTTCATAATTTGAAACAGAGAAAGGTTAACTTGCGTTCCTTAGGTCATAGACAGTTGGCAGTACATCTAAATGGAGAATTTTTGTGCCTGTCCTTTCCTCTTCACCTAATTGTAGGTTTAGAAATACTAAAGAAAGATTTTTTTGGGTCGGTCATGGGGCTTGAACTCTGGGCTTGGGCGCTGTCCCTCAGCTCTTCAGCTCAAGGCAAGCGCTCTACCGCTTGAGCCACAACGCCACTTCCAGTTTTCTAGTGGTTTATTGGAGATAAGAGTCTCACAGGCTTTCCTGCCTGGGCTGGCTTTGAACCTTGATCCTCAGATCTCAGCCTCCTGAGTAGCTAGGATTACAGGCGTGAGCCACCAGCGCCCGGCTAAAGAAGGATTTTTTTAAAAACCTACTTAGCCCTATAGATTTTCATTTACCCCATTCACATGATTTGAGTTGACATAGCACTCCCAAAGCATATTTTGCCTCTTGTGTCATATGAATGGCATCTCCAAGGATAGAGACCTTATCTATAATTACATCCTCTGCTCACACTTCCACAGATTCCCTTTATAAAAGCCAAGAAAAAAAAAACCAGGCAGACTTTTGTTGACTGCCTGCTGTGCTGCTTGCTGTGCTGGCCACACAGCGCTTCCTTCCTCAAGGTCTCCATGGGAGCGTCTCTGCAGGCTGTGCCACAGAATCTGGCCTATGATTGACTGGATTTGGATCTGACCAAGTTTGGTGACTCAAGAGTTAAGTCCCCATTCTAGTGTCCTGGCCCGTCTCCTTGGCCTCAAAACACCTGGAGAGTAATGTCAGAAAGGAATCATGTTCCTTTTATGTTCCCTTTTCTTCCTGTTGCCTGATTTTTATTACTCTGAGGAAGTTTGTTTGAGGTCCATTTCCATATGACTGACCCATCACTAGGCCTCTGGCCACTTATCAGAACCCATGGGCCCCTACCCAGACCCTTTAACTGGAGACCACATCCCTGTTGCCACCCAATAGCATTGGCACATAGACTGTGCCATTGGCATTGTGGAACGTGTGGTGTCAGCTACAGCTGGGACCATTGTGCTCTCTGATGCTCTACTTGAGACACACTTAGGAAGATTAATGTTTTTCATATTTTACTTCTCCAGGAACACAGCACTAACCAAACGGGGCTTCCATTTCAGATGGAGCTGTAAGCTGGCAGGATGTCAGGGCCAGCCTGCAGGGGAGCTCAGCAGGTGGAATCCTGTGATAGTGCAGGCACTCATGGGAGCTGTCCAGAATGCTATTAGTGAGGAATCCTTGAAATGATTTCCATCTGTGGAAAGGGACACCAGCAAGGCAGACATTTGTAGCACTTATTTGAAGGAAAAGATCCAGTGGGCTTACTCTAGTCTACCAGATGTCTGGGCCATGTCATTTGCATCCTACAATTCTGGTACTTGGAGCTTGGCTGCTTGGTTTGGAATAGGGGCAAGTGGGAACATGTATTCTACCTGTGCTGTTTCTGTGCTCTGAATCTAGAAAGGAAAACCACACAGGGAGTCCCAGCATAGGCAGTTCCACTTCCTGTTGCATCTTGGCAAAACTGCTGAGCTGAGAGAAAGGGCAAAAGCAGTGGTGCATGCATAAAAGGCAGCCGCAGCCTCCCAACTGAGAGCCTCTTCCTGCAAGCAGTGTGTGGTTGTTGTGCTGGGGACCTAATCGCTTCCCTTCTCCCCTTTTTCTCCCTCCTCCTTTGTTTCCAACAGGCCTCACGCTCTCAGCTGCAGGCTCTGGGCAGAATTGAGGCAGAAAGCCTTCTGACTCTGACCACCCAGCTTGTGAAGGCCAAGCTCCCTGCCTGTGAGGCTGAGGACCTCGCCACCTATGAGCAGAAACTGCAGCAGTGGCACCTGGAGCGGGTACAGTTGATGCAGAGGGAACAGGAGCAGCGGGAGAAAGCAAAGCAGAAGTACCAGGCCTGGATGGCAGCGAAGACAGCAGCCTAACAGACTGCCAGCATTCAGCACACAAGCTAGAGACTCAGACTCAGCCTCCTCTATCCAGCTTCTCCTTTTCTCAAAAGCCACAATGTGCTCCATGTCATGACACTGTGAATGCCAGTCCTGGTGCCAAGTAGGGTGGAGAACTAGGAAGTGGCTGGAATCGAGCCACCAGCCCAATCCCTATAGGCTCTTGAGGCACACGGTAGAGTCCTGGGCTCAAAGATCAACTGTGAGCATGGAAACTTTCTAGTACTTTGAGAGGGTATGGGAGGGAGAAGTTGTAGCTGGAGTCAGGTCTCTAATACAGGCATTTCAATGGTTACCCTGTCCTTGACACAGGCACACCAGACCAAGGTGAATGAGTACAGGTCCTGAGACCTCATGTCCAGGAGTCCCTTTGCCCCATATTCCTACTCCTCCTTCCCACCATGCTCTGCTCTGGGCAATGTTCAGGATAGCAGTGACCTCAAGACCACAGCACTACTGGATTCTAGATGTTAGGCACTCGGCAATATTTCTAGAATGCAAGGACTTCCACGGAGAAACTTATGCCCTGCCTATAATGATTTTGTGGCTTGTTTTTTTCTGTCATATTTTCCAGAGCACTGTTTCAGCTCCTTATCAAGGGGGTGAATGGACTTTTGTGTACATACGCACATACACATACACGCACAACTTGTAAACACAGTTATAGGCGTTGGAGAAAATGAAAGATGGGATGGTGCTTGATGTGCAAAATGAATAATTGTAAAACTGTCAGAGGGTAGAAAATTCCTTCTTGAGTTTTTTTTTGTGAAAAGATTACAAACAGCTTTTGCTTGTGGTATTTTTATTCAGGATTGTACTTTTTTTTATTAAGAACCTGTGGAGATAATATATTACAATAATCTCAGAACAATTACTTTTGGGGAGATGGAGGAAGTGGTTTTTGTTATTATTATTAGTACACTTTTTAGGGAGTTTTTGAGAGGGGTTTTGGGACATAGGTACTATACTTGAACATGCTAGGCATGCACCCTACCACTTGAGCCATGTTGCCAGCTCTTTTTGTTTTAATTTGTTATTAGAGATGGTCTCAGGGTTTTGCCCAGGCCCATAGTCCTTTCAATGTGCCAACAACTCAGCCTTAGGAGGTAGTATTAGCCCCACATTATGAAGAAGGAAATAAACCTGTTTCCTCTTCCAACTCTGTTATCTCCTCCCCACAGTCCTGTCTTCGGAGCTGTAGCGTCCTCTCCCATCCTTGAGGATTGTGACTTGTGACTGCTTGTTCTCTGTTCCCTTTCCTGGACACCTGTGCTCTGGGCACTTCAGTACCCTAGCCTGTGGGGGAATTCCCTTCCTCTAGCCAACCTGTCAATCACAGCCAAATCTCCACCTCCTAGCACTAATATAGGGCTTTACACCCCAAAGTCCCATTCTCCAGTCTCCTGTCATGCCAAGAGCCCTCTTGTCTCTTTTACTCCCCACATGTAAACTCTTTGCCTCTACTGGTCATTCAAACTTTAGTTCCCGACTTCAGTTTCACTTGTTTGCCTCCCAGCCTGGGCCCATGTTAGCCATCCCACTGATGCTCTTCTTAGCATCTTTCATTTCCTCTCCATTTAGCCAGGTCCAGATGCCATGCTTACATCCTTCAGCCCCTTTGGAAGGGTTGAACTATCCCAAAAAGTAGATTGAACCTTAGAATATTTTCTTAGTTGTGTCCTTTTGTCAAATTTAAATGAGATTATTAGATTGAGCCCTAGTCCAGTATGAGAGGTGGTCTTGAAAGGGGGGAATGAGTGCAGACAGAGGCTTGCGTAGGAGGAAGACAGTGTGAAAACACCATGGGACCAGGTGTTTTCCACAGGGGACTTCCACAAGCTTAGAGTTGCTGAACTTCTATGAAAAGATCAGAAGCCAGGAGAAACAAGGGAGAATTCTCCCTTCAGAAAGACATGGATGGCCCTGCTGACTGGATTGTTCATTGTTGTGAGCTCTTGTGTTCTTTTAAGTTCCCAAATTTTGGAATATTGTAAAGGCAACCTTAAGAGGAACTGATACACCAGTTTGTTTCCTTTGCTTCTGGCCTTTTAATATACAGTCATATCATGCTGATTAAATTCCTCTACAAAGTCATAGCTTTCCCCTTCAACCCAGTAGTCATTCCATTTATCCATAATTCAGTTTTACTTCAGCAGCTTTACATGAGCCTAAGACCCTGGCCTCAGAACAATGAGTAGAATTTCCTTCACATTTCATCAAGATAATATAAGCCACCTAACATAGCCTCCGCATCCCTCCTTTCTTCCTCACAATGCTTGTCCTTGCCATTTCTCTCCACCTTACTTAGTCCCAGCTGTTCTCTTCCTCCTTGTCAAAGTGAGATTTCCTTAGTGTCCTCAACACCACACCTTCCTGCTTCATCTGGACCCAGTGGTCAGTGTGGCTCAAGAACCTTTTCCTTCATCCTACCACCAAGCAAGCTCCTTCCCTGTGTCACCAAACTCCCTCAAAGGGTTTGTCCACTGATTGAATGGAGTCTCCTTCCTTAGATGTTGAGAATTGAGCTTTCAGCTTTGCCTCTGATGCACAACGGGGCTACCGTGGCAATGGTCCTTTCCCTTCTTGCCCACTGTATTCCATTTGGCTTCACTCACCTTATGAGTTGGGGGTCTGCAGCACACAGAAGTGTGCCAGCACTGCTTTTGTGTGTTCACAAGCATTTGACATAACTACAAAGCACCACAGAGTTGACAGAGATCAGTAACACAGGCCCTACCCTCACATAACTTTAGGTCCACTGAGGAAAGGGCTAGCATATCTGTACCTGTCAACAGTTAAGTGATGTCAAAGAGACAGGTCAAGGCAGGGTGGCAGAGTTCAAAGGAAGAACTCTGCAGACTGGGAGGTCACAAAGCACCAGTCTCTAGGAACTATCTTCTGCATTGTACTTTAGTCACATGGGTTTCTCAAATTGCTCTGGGGAGGGACGGCTCTTTTCCCCAACTAATGGATTCTTCAACTTAAAACCAATTCAGACTAAACCTGTACACTTAGGTGCACGTTAGTACAAAAAAAAAAAGACTGAAAAAAAAGGTAAAGTTGGGGGAAGAAAGGAAAAGCAACAGTGAAGTAAAAGTGTCCAGAATGTCCACACATCCCACCTTGAGGCTCATGCTTTGTCACTAACCTTGCCTGGCCTTTCCTGCCCTCTAGTTGGTAAGGGTTTAAGATCTATGTGTGAGGAGGTTGTGGGTGATTTAATAAGCAGTCACAGGCCTTGAAAATACATTGATTAAAGCCACTTGGCTCTGAATGAAAACAGCCTTTACAGTGTGTGCACTTTGCTGACTGGATGTCCCCCAAACACAAGCCAGCGTTCTGTTTTTCCCTTTTTGCTGCAGCTGTATTATGACCTCTGGGAAACCTTAACCACTGCAAAGGAACAAAGAACTCTGCAATAGCTATGAGAAAGACTTTCAGAAAGTCTTTCACATTGTCATGTGTCTTTTAGAAGCCAATGCCAAGTCAGAGGTCTGAGTGCAAGCAGGTTTGAGGGGCATTTCCTGTGAGAGAAAAGGACAGGAAAAGCCCTCCAGGTGAAGACCCCACCTCTGCCTCTGTGGCTTGGGAGATGGAGACCCTCAAGGCCCGAACTTGATAACCCAGGGCTGTCTCTGATGGGTTCATTAGGTAGAACTGGACCGGGAATCTTGAGAGGACCTCAACGTGAGTCCTGGAGAAACACTTCCGTATCATCTGATGTCCTCATTGGATATGGATGGGGGAGGGATGAAATAAAAATGGGTTGGGAAGGCTTTGACTTTAGTGCATCATTAAAACAGAAAAAGTGTTGTGATTGTGTTTGTATGAGCTTTTCAAATACTAAAAATGGTATTTTTTATTTTTTAAATTTTATTGTAAAGGTGATGTACAGAGGGGTTAGTTAGATAATAAGTACATTTCTTTTTGAGCAGTGTTACCCCCTCCCTCATTTTCTCTTGCTTTCCCTCCCCCTCCACGTCCCCTCTCCCCCGTTGTAAAGTTCATTTCCAACATAGTATCTAGTGAGTATCACCCTTGGTCTCACCATTTCTGTGATTCCCCTTCCCTTCCCCAAACTAGATAAACTTATGTACAAGACAAAGGATACTGAAATCTGAAACCATAAACCAGAGGAGGAAAAAAAAAGACAAAAGAAATAACTGCAAGCAGTACAGTATAAAAAGAAAATAACCACACACACCAAAAAATTTCTCTTTTTCCATATTGTGGTGTAAGTGGTCATATGTACATAGCTATTAGGCTGGCTATTGTGAACCTCTGATGACTATCCTAGGCATATACTAATTATTACAGATGAGGGAAACCATGGAACCTATGTTTTTTGGGGTGTCGCCAGGTTTTAATTAATATGATAAAAATGATAACTTTTTTTTTTAAGTCTACTTTGGGAAATAAAAAGAACAAGGAAGGCTTTCCAATGAACATGTCTTGAAAATTGTCTTTTAAATAACTTCTTAGAAACTGGAGTTAAGTATTGACCACTTACAAAGAAAAGCCCATGCTGCTGGGCAGGAGGGGGAGAGGGAGCAGTTGGGGAAAGAGCAGGGTTTGTTTGATAGCAGGGTCAATTTGACTTGGGGTGTTTGAGATTAAGATGGGGATCTTGCTAGGCAGCTAGGTCCATGAGCTTGGAGATCAGAAAATAGGGTCACAGAAAGTCAGTTTATATGAGGCATGGAAACAGACTGCCTTAGAATAGCTTGCATTTTCAAGTTTGAGTGGGGATGGATTGGGCACAAAATAACACTGCATATAAACATTGGTGCGCCGTGTATATGCAGCAGTGCTATCATCAGGGAGACACTGCCAGCAACCCCAGATTGCACCAGCAGAACTGCTCTTCATAACAGAACTCATTGGGCACCAGTGGCTCACACCTATAATCCGAGCTACTCAAGAAGTTGAGATCTGAGAATCACGGTTCAAAGCCAGCCCAAGCAGGAAAATCTGTGAGATTCTCACAGACATCAATCACCAAAAAGCTGGAAGTGAAACTGTAGCTCAAGTGGCAAGACATTCGCCTTGAACATAAAAGTAAGGACAGCTCCCAGACCTTGAGTTCAATACACAAAACTGACACAATAAGTAAATACTGCATGCAAACAAAACCCACAGATAGAACTCTAATGACTTTCTAAGACAGACAATGGTAGATGAAAGAGGAAATGATCTAGGATTACCCAAGAGACCAAGAACTCAGGAGTCAAGAGTATTTTAAAAGATCATTAAATCCAGATCATTCAGCTGAGTGTGACAGACTAGGTTAAAATCTGTTTGTTCCCTTTATTTATTTATTTTTTGGCGGGGGGGGGGGGGGGGGGGGGGGGCTCCAGTCATGGGGCCTGAACTCTGGGCCTGGGCTCTGTCCCTCAGCTCTTCAGCTCAAGACTAGCATTCTACCACTTGAGCCACAGCGCCAGTTCTGGCTTTTTTCTTTTTGCTTATGTGGTGCTGAGGAATCAAACCCAGGGCCTCATGCATGCAAGGCAAGCGCTCTACCACTGAGCCACCTTCCCAGCCCTGTTTGTTCCCTTTATTTGTTCAAGAAACCCAGTCTTCTATATCTACTGGTCTGCAATATGGGGGCGGAAATGTTAGGTGACATGTTAACTTGTTTCTCTCATCTCCCAGTTTGTGTCCTTAGGCAACAACATCCTCAAAGGCTTGACTAGTGAAGGCAATGAGGTGCAAAATTTAGTGGGACCCTTTCAGCGCCTCCCTGAAAGCCAGGAAGTCCATCCTGAAAAGAATGAATACCTCACCCTTGCCGTGGATGGCAAAGCCCAACCATGACCACAAGGCCAAAGACTACACAGCACACACACGTGAACTTTTGCCACTTTTGTATTTTATTGTGGAACTGAGGGTTTTTTTTTTTTCCTTTACATCAAATATCCTCAATGGAAGAGGGGATATTGCACACAAATATCATAAAAGCACTACATATTACTTTCACTGGAAACTAATTTTCTACATTAGATATGACGGGATAGGATAAAGTGATGCAGGATTATAAGACAATACCATACACAGCTGCAGACTGACACAAACACCATTCAGAACAAGAGAGAGGAGTGCGAAATGCTTCTCAGCCCGGCCTGGCTCAGGCCCACTTCTTTCCAGGGCTGGAAAGTGTTGACTCCAAACTGCTTGCTGTCCAAAGGGCAGCCTGGTCTGAGCCTCTTCCCAAGGCTCCTGTTTGGGGATGCTCCAAACAAGAGCAGAGAAGCTGTTGGTTGGTTTCCCTTCCTTTTCAGTTTGTGATGCTGCCTTTTAAATGAACTGCAGAAAGTCACAGTTTTTGTAAGAGTGAATAGTGTTAATACCAGGTGAATAACCTAATTGCTGTGGTAGGAATGCTCATCTCTAGGCTGCGTTGGGTGTGTGGTTCAGTTGGTGAAGAGATAAAAGCTCACACAGTTCCTTTCCAATGGAAACAAGATCTTTTCTCCTAAATCTGAAGCGCAAAAAAAGAAATCATTATCCTAACTCACAATATCTTTATTGAGCAGGAAATCTCCTGTGACCGATGACTAAAGAGAAGCAAGAAAAGCAATTCCAGAATCGTAGAGCAGCTCCAGGGAGCTGATTTTGGTAACAGAGGGAAAATGGAAGGGGATAAAATTGCCATTAGCAAATGATTAAGTCTTATTAAATGAGTATTGGAAAGCTCCTAAACTTGGTCAGCTATTGGAGACACTTAAAACACTCATATACACTGGGAAAACCATTCACTATGATATGTAACGTTAAGGGGAAAAAAATCTTTCCTTTTGAATGCCATGGAAAATGGTATTGGAGGGGGAGGGTCAGTCTTTGTATGCAGTCCCACCACAAGACTGAGAAAGCATGCACAAGGTTGGGGGACTTCGGGAGAAGGGACAGAATTGGTTAAAATTGAAAATGGAGGATCATCTCTAATGTTTAGTCTGTGGAATTTTGTTCAAGAATACTACCAAAAAGGTCATGATCATGAGTTCTATCTCAATAGAATCTCATCATTTAAACAAAGTGGAGATTCTTTCCACTCAAATATTCAATCTATACAACTGGATTCAAGGAATCAGTATGAACAAAGCTCTTAGAAGTCGGTGTTGGTTTTTAGCTCTCACCATGAATGTACATGGCTTGGTGATGATTGGTATTAAATTAATTGTGTACTTATAGAACTAGTAAAATTAGGTTAGTCACACAGGTAGGAATGGTATCTGGAAGGACAGGAGCAACCTGTAATGCAAATATTAACTTTTCCTGTTGTACTCAGGTTTTATGGTCATCATTGAGAACAATGGTTGGGAGTAGATAGAGTACTGATAGATTTCGTAGGAAAAAGAGCCTGCTGACAAGTGACAGTTTTTAAAAATATTTTTCCCATTAAATCTACTAGCAGGAAAGAAAAAGAAATCAAGGGAGATGGAGCAGAATAGAGTCTTAGCTAAAGACTGGCTATTCTTCTAAAATGTTTGTATTTTTATAGCAAAATAATATATGTTAAATAAATTTAATTTGGAGAATTGGAAGATAACTTCATCTTCTATCAAAGAAAAATCAACCAGAGGTTTAGATTTGGCAAGAAGGCTAGAATCATTTTTTTCTTCCCATGTATTATGTGGACCAACTCAACAGCTAACCATTAAATAACTATCTTGAGTATTTTAGTTGTCTCGTAAAAGGAATTTGAAGTAGATATGTTTACATTCAAGGAAATCTACTTTCATTACAATGACTTTTCTATCATGTATGAAAGTTTTGTACCTTTAATGTGTTAGTCTCAAAAACTTGGGGAAAAATAGGGTAATAAATAAAAACTGCATTCCTAGAGAAGCCTAACAAAAATAGAATATTAATTTTCTTTTAAAAAATTAAACATTTGGAAAATGTAATTCACAGCATTAAGTAGACTGCCAAAGTCCTCTGCAAAAGGACCCTGGAGAAGCTTTGCTTAAACCCTCATAATCACTAGCAGTGCAAAACATACACTTCACAGACACAGCTAAACTCAAATGTTAATATTGAAATAAATAACTAGCGTAGAAAATAAAATGAGGTCATTGTTCACTACTCCCTAGATCTTCGAGTCTGCAGGAAACATGACGTGACAGCATAACACAGTTGTCACTGAGAAGTTTGCCACATCTGAACACTGGGGACACTGATCTGCAATGTGAAACTGGACGGCAGCTTTCACCATGATCTGCCTTCCCAGGCTCGCGGTTCAACGATGCAATGATGGACATGATGTCTGAAACTCTACATGATGAATGCAAGAGTTAGGAAATCAGTTGTTTTCAATCTATTACTTCATCCTCCCCTCCCCCTCCCCACCATGAAAAGAAAAATCCCAAAGCAAATTTATGCAAGGGTTCTTTTGAATTTGGCTCTTTTACCTCCTGGTTGAAGATCTTGAAAGAAGTATGTAGGATACCACTGAGTGATCAGATTGGATGGCCCTGAAAAGTAGCCTATAATGCTTTTCTCTCCCATTCTCAATAGGACATACTCAGATTTTTACGTTATGGGAATCAACGGATGGGAGGTATTGTTACTCCTGGTAGTTTACAGGTTTTTAATAAATATTACTGCAATATCAGACTTCAATCTTGCCAGAACTTAAAAAAAAACTTCAATTTTTGTCTTACGAAACACTGAAGAAGAAGAAAAAAAAAAGACTATCTCTTGAAATTTTTCTTTGCATTTTCCTGTAAATGAAAACATTTGTTAAAAAGTTCATCTATGAAAAGTTCTCACGTAGCTAAAAAAAATTCTTCTGTACACTTGTTCCCATAATTATGTTGAAATCAATGGAAAATTTAAAAAGCCAATGTAAGACAAAGGAAGGTAAATACTGTACACTTGCCGAGATCTTTCTTCCACCATAAGATTCAGTTTTCTCAGTTCTGATCCTAGAAGCCATTTCAGTCTTGAACTTGCAGTGGTAAAGAAGCTAAGAAAGGCCCAAATTGTTTGGCTGAGGGGCCATAGATGCATTCGAGTGGCATTCAAAGCACGTCTCAGCATCAAACTGCTGGACCAATCAGATCCGCTTCTAGTACCCCTACACATGCACACATGCTCCTTTAACTGGAGTATCTATAATCCTACATGGATGTTTTAGAAACTTGCTGTCTCACATTAAAAAATAAGTGCATCAAGTATCTTTGTACATTCAAGTCACTTCCTAAGGCAAATTGTCTACTGTATGTACTCCCAACTGCTTTGGTATTTGCTTCAGTTAACTGGGATGGCCTTGAGTGTTGCTGCATGCAGGTTAATTGTCGCAGTGTGGACTAAGTGAGTGGACAGATGCTGGGAGCATGGGAGCATGCCTTAGATCAGCCTACTCGTGTGTCAAAGAGTCCGAGAGTTCTGAATGGGGCTCAAACCACTTGCTTTCCCAGTCTACACTCATTACGTTATGTCAGTGTGCAGCCTTCAAACCGAAGGAGCTTAATTAAGGCGTGAAAAGAATCTCACAAGCCCTCACCACAAAGTTTTGTTCTTTTTTGCTCTAGCCAACTTGCTTTAGAAAATTAAGACCCTTTTTTTGATGACACAGACTGATAAAAGTGGAAAACTTTGCCTAGGTAGACTCAGAATATCTGTGGCCTGAGTAAATGCAGACCTAATTGTTGGTTACCTTCTCTTTACCCCACCCAGCCCTCTCTTTTTGTTTTCCTCTCTCTCTGGGTGTCTCACCAGAACTCTCTCCTCTAGCATTCTTTTTCTTTCTTATTCTTTCCCTCTTTCTCTCCTGCATTCTCTTTGTTCGCTCACTCCCTCACTCCCTCCCTCTCTCCCTCACCCTCCTCCTCTCTCTTTCCCTCTCTCTCCCTCTTTCTTGCTCACTCTAAGACAAATGCCTCCACCTAGCAGAAGTCACAGTTGGGTTTGCTAGTGCATGGTTTTCAAATGTTCAGCAGAGATGAAGGGGGGCAGGTAATTTTGCAGTAACTTGAACCCTATTATGGGAATACTGTTATTTCCCTTAGCAATCAGCAAAAAACTGAGAAATATTAGTGACTCGTATCACCGTGACACAGTATAGCATTTTGGCAGGTAATTGTTCGGCGACTTAATTAGATGAATGGATGTTTTAGAAAAGGTAGTTTCAAATTGAAGAATTTTCTGGAAACAAAGTTCAGATCCTGTGGGGTGGCTGGCCGTGATTTTTACAGTTCTATCTTGCATGCAGGGAAGGATTCATCTTGCATAACCACTGTGCTACTGCTTGCTAGGACCATGATGTTGAGGTCTTGCTGCTTCTCATGGGTTTCCTGGTACCATTCTCTCATCACCTCTGAGTCATGAGTTGGAATCAATGTCACCTGCAGGGAGAGAAAAAACTGCTGTTATAAGGGCAGAGCCAGAAGTAAGGCAGGTGCTCTACCACTTGAACTACACCTGTATTTCCAACTTTTTTGGTGGTTAACTGGAGATAGGAGTCTTTTGGCTTTGTCTGCCTGGGTTGACTTCAAACTGCAATCCTCAGGTCTTAGCCTCCTAAGTAGCCAGAATAACAGGTATGAGTCACTTTTGTTTGTTTGTTCAATGTGCTAGTCATGAGGGGTGCCATCCCTAAGTTTTGTGCTTAAGGCTGGTGCTATACCCCTTGAGCCACAGCTCCACATCTGGCTTTTTGGTGGTTAATTGCAGATAAAAAGAGTCTTACAGACTTTCCTTCTCCAGGCTGACTTTAAACCATGATCCCCAGATGTCAGCTTCCTGAATACCTATGATTACAGGCATGAGCCACCAGCACTGGCTCAACATGTCTTTTAATTTTTTTATTCCACTATTACAGAAAAAAAATGAAGGAATTAAGAAACAACACATCCTTTTAAATAAGATCCCTTCTCTCCACCTCTGACCCAAGTTAACTGCAGCACAGACACAGTCCTGGGAGCGCTTACCTGCATGTTGCTGCCCCACTGAGCCTTCCCTTCCAACAAGGCATCCAGCACAGCCCGGCTGGGCTCCTCAGCAGCAGGGTCATTCCCACTCACCACATAGTAGGACGACCGCACTCTCTTGAAAAACTCAACATCAACGTTCTTACTATTGCTGTGATTGGGAATATAGCACAGGTCCAAATACACGGGGAGGCCTGGAGGCACAGCAGATGACTTGGCTGTCTTGGTGGTTCCTAGTCCTTTGGTTTAAACAGAAGACAAAGCAAGGATCACAGCACTGTGAAACAACCTGTACATACATCCGCACACCTTCCCCTCAGATCCCCAAGCAGGGCCTCTGGACCACACATTTCCATAGGGAGGCATCAAACACTAGCAATTTGGGAAGAAACGCCATGGCTGTTTATCATTGCCAATAGGAGAAATGAGGAATGGGATGAGCTCTCTGTGGGCAAACTCAGTAGAAAGTAAGACAAATTTTAAGGCCTTTTTTAAAGGACTACATAAGGAAGACTTACCTTCCAAAGAACCTGCATCTTAATTACAAGTGATTTAAGAAACATTTGCAAAGTTGAAAGGAAGTGCTTGCAATTAGGAAATGATAATAAGTTGTCTTGGTTGTCCTATAGGGTCGCATTTAATCTTTTAGGGCTATTTCACCCATGGCGAACTGGCATACCTTCACATTTGGCCTAGTAAGTGCTTCAGATCTTAACCCCATGTGATCTCCAGGCCATTCCTCATTTCAGCCTGATGAAGCTGAGAATACAGCCTTAGTGGAGTTGTATTCTCTCCTTAGCACAGAGTTCTACCAAGTGAGATGAGAGGACTGGTCATCAACACTTGGCAAAGGTAAGTTTGGAAAGCCCATGATGTTGCTAACTAATCAAGGCATGCCATCCTGGGGAAAGAGCCATCCTGGAGCCAAATTTCCTAGGCTAAACCAGAAAGGCCTGAGAAACGTGAAAATTAGGATGAACCCTGAAGTTTTCTGTCACTCTACATTCAGCGAGCTAGCTTGCTAACTTGTTCTACTTAGAAGGCTTAAGGATTCTGAAATATTTAAGTATCATTCAGCAGTAATGGTCCTTCACCCACTGTGTAATTAGTCACTTCCAGTGCTTCCCGATGACAAGACTTCATCCTCCAGAACATGACAACTGGATCAGGGCTGGGGTCTGGGTACCACTGTCCTTTAAAAGCATCCCAGGTGATTCTAATGTGCAGCTGGTTTGGGAGACCATTGCAGTAGAGCTATTTAAAATGCCACATTTGATGTTCTGTGATTAACCTTCTCTCGTTTCTCATTGGATGGTGAACACTTTCACCCTGGAGTCAGAACCACTGGGAATTCCACCAGCCATCCACTGTTGCTTTTGGTGGTGAGAAACGGTCAAACTGCTATTTGGATAAAGAAGCTCATTTTATAAATAAATTGACAGGGCATTCTATTGAACCTGTCTCAAAATATCCATGTGGGGATCTCCTAAAGAATTCTGAATTATAGCTCACAAGTTTCCACAAAAATTAAAAATGTCTGCAATTTTTTCTTGACATCAAGTGTATATTGTTCATAGAAGCACAACTTGGAAATTGTCAAAAGACCACACACATTTGTTTTTAAAATCAACAAATTGTATAACTTTGCATTTTAAAAAAAACCTAAAAGCATCTTCAAAGTAAATTTTATTTTATTTTTGTTTTGGGACAGGGTGTCAATCATGTAGTCCAAGCTGGCCTCAGCCTTCTTAGTGCTGGGATTAAAGATATATGCAAAGATATATGCCACCACACCCTGTCAAAGTAAGCTAAAATGAACTTACTACTTTACCTTTAAACTAGCTCTTTAAATGCCCCCAAATGCTTTTATTTTCTCTTCAAAGTCATTTGTGTAGGTTACAGCATGTATGTTCTGTAAAGGTGGCAGGCTATTTCAGTTGAGTTTTATCTGTTTGAATAATGTCATGCTTTCTTCTAATGCAAGTTAGTCAACACTTTTGGACCAAGGGGTTACTTGGTGTTTTTTACTTTAAACATGAACAAATTAAATTTGTTTTCTTTGTGTATATAAAAAGACCAAATCTGAGTCATACACTCAATGTTCCACATAAAACAAAAATCCATAGCTGTAACCCAAATATAGGCTAAAATGTATTGAATTTGAGAGACAGGTTCATATCCCAAATTTGCCCTAATAAATCAAGGAAATGTTTAAATTATTTTTGCATTATGTGTTTGGGTCAATTTATATTACTTTATAAAGTGCAGCCTAAACTCCCTTAGCCAATTGTTTAAAGGAAATAAATTGTATTAACATAGATCTCTGTGAACGATGGAAATAGTTCAATGAAGCTGAGCTGCCAGAGACCAACTCATCGCTGAGAAGCAGATACATCTGGGCATCAGCAATAAATTAGGATTGACCAGAAGCCAGAGACAGCTGTTCTTCCACATGGAATTTCCATGTATCTCCAAAGTAGTGGGCTATTTTTTTTTAATTTATGGTTTTGTGGTGCTGGGGATTAAAACCAGGGCCTTGTGTGTGCTAGGCAGCCAATCTACCAAAGAGTCATATCCCCAACTCTTGGGGATATCTTGAATTTAAAAACAATCTTAAAATTTTAAATTTATATGTAAGCTTATTTTTTGTTAATTTATTAAAGAAAAAAAAGACTCTTTATCTTGAGCCTAAGCTGGTCATTCCAGGTTTGTCAAGGAATTCTGGTTTTCCCTAGGCTTTTGTGCAATCCTAGCCTGGATCACCTCGGCTTGCTTCTGGGGCCAGCCATGCCTGAAGCAGACACTCCAAACACACATCCTCAGTTCTTAAGGTTTCTAACAGGGCTGTAGTTGTGTTCCAGAACAGAGTAGACCCTGCAACCCAGTTGGTTGGTGCCATAGGCTGAGCTAGGCTCAAGCCTGAGGGCTCACTAAGTTATTTACCTTTAAGCAAAGGACAATAGCAGAGGGAAGATGAAGTGTCAGGCTGTGTTCTCTGGTCTTCCAGGAAACAGAAAGGCTCTAAAGAAAAGCAGCGCTGTGGCTCGAGTCATAGTGCCAGGAGCCCGCACCTACCTGCAGTGGCCGTCTTCACGGATTTGGATGTGGAGGCATTGGCGGCATTCTTGGTCTCCTTGTCTTTCTCCTCCCCACGTGCGGCTTTGACTTCAGGAGTGGTGGTGGTTTTCGTGACTTTTTCCACAGATTCTTTCTTCTTAGGAGAAGCTACTCTGGATACCTTATCTGAGGATTCTTTCAAGGCCCCAGGTTTGGGGGAAGCTGCCAAGGGCTTAGACTTCCCATCACCTTTTTTAACGGGGGAAGAGGACTTGGTCTTTGTGCCTGGCTTCTTGGTCTTGGCCTTCTCTTTCAGGTCTTTCTTCAGAGCTTTGCCTAGATTCTGCTCGATGGCCAAGGCCTCTGGGTCCACCATGGACACGTCCGGGTGGCGGGGAGAAGGGCTGCGGTCCTGCATGGGGGCCGGAGGAGGATCCATGTGTTTGTAGGTGACAGTTTTGTCTGTGGGGATGGTTTCGGATTCGTCTTCAGAGTCGATGTTGGCATCGGCTGTGATGGAAGGACACTCTTCTGTCTCTGGGGGCACGTCGGAGTCTGTCTGGGATGGCGCTGACTCACTGACTGAGGTGGGAGGGGTCTCATCACACTGACGCCCCTGTTGCTTTCCTCCCGGGGGTGGAGGGGCTCCCCCTGACTGAGTGAGGGGCTTCTCGGACTCTTCAGTGGGCTCTTCTTCATTGGCAAACCACTCCAGAGGGTTGGGATTAATGAAGGAAGGTGAGAGCTCTGTTTTGGGGTGCTTGTATTCGCAGGAGGACACGAGGCACAAATCCACATCTTGGCGGGCCTCTGAGGGAGACTTCTTCTCCGCAGGGTAGCATCGGTCTGAAGTCTCATAGGAATACGTAGATGCCTGGGGGGTTTTTGTGACTTTCTCCATGGTCTCAAAACAGTATGTGGACGTTTCAGGGCTGCGGGTCAATTTTGTAGATGTCTCATAGGAATAGCTTTCCGACTCGGGGAAGCTAGTAATTTTCTCTGTGGTCTCATAGGAGTAGCTAGAGTCCCCAAGGGTGTGGCCTCCATCCTCAGAGTCTTCATAGCCGTTGCTGATGTCATCCAGGACCTTTCTAGACCTCTCGGTCTTTTCATAGCTGTAACCGCTCAATTCTGGGGTCCTCGTCGTCTTCTCGGTTATCTCGTAGGAGTACCCGCCCTCTTCGGGGGTCCTCGTGGTCTTCTCTGTGATCTCGCAGGCGTAGCCCCCAACTTCGGAAGGCCTGGTGGTTTTCTCGATGGTCTCGTAGGAGTAGCCGCTGTCACATGGAGATTTTATGGTTCTCTCTGTCTTCTCATAATAATAGCCACTCACATCTGAGGGCCGGGTGGTTTTCTCATAAGACTCGTAGTCATCGTCATCGTCTTCTTCGTCTGGGGACCGGGTGGTTTTCTCGTGCTTTTGGTAGGCATAGCTGAAGTCACCAGGTGTCTTTCCTCCACTGTCAGATGAGGTCAAATCTCGATTCAAGGCCAGGTGGTGTTGCATGGTGTCGAACAGCATGGAGGCCCGGAAGCCATAGGACTCGGTGGAGGTGGCATCTCTTGGCGGAGAGGAGGAGGGGTGGCAGGCCTCTGAGTTCTCTTTCAGGGCAGAGGTAGACTCTGAGAAGCCGAGTGAATATAAAGGAGAGGACTCCCTGGGGGTGAGTGGAGAGATATCAGATTTTGGAGAGAGCTTCTCTCCTTCCAGACTTTGGACCTTTTCAGAGGTGAGTGAGGCATACAGGGACATCTCTCTGGGAGGGACGACATCGGATAGAGTGTCTTCTTGAAGAGGAGAAGCTATCTGAGAAGGAGTGTGAGCAGAGGAGGTGGACGGAGAGGCCTCCACCTGAGACACGGAGATGAGCTCAGACAGATCATTATCCTGGGTGGAGGAAGGTTCCTCCATCGGGGGTATCTTGTGAGACAAGCTGGAGTCCTGCATGTCAGAAGGACTGTAGTCCACTTCAGTGGGCCCATTTTCGGTGATGTGGAGCATACTCGCACCCATGGTCGGGTGATCTGGGGACTGTCGGCTAAAGTCCATAGCTAGAGAGTGCTCAGGAGATTCTTGGCCAAATTCAATAGACATAGAAGACTGTTCAGATCGGTGGTCTTGAACGGGTGTCCTGGATTTGGCTGTCTTAGGGGAGAAGTCTGGAGGGGAAATTGACATTGGCCTTGGGCATTCTTCCTTAGATGGAGACATTTCCGTTTCCTGGAAAGTGGTAGGTGTTTGTACCACAGACACTGACAGGGAGTCATCTACTTCTGTGGAGTGCGGGGAACCGACCTCAGCGTGCAGAGACGGAGACACGTCGTCTGTTGTTGGCTCAGGAAATGAACTCGTCGCCACAGAGGCAGTGGAGACGGAGGCCACCCCTTCCATGTGGGAGTATGTGTCTTCTGCCACACCCTCATCTACAGGCGTGGCTGACTTGTCTGAGACAGTGCCTTCAGAAATGGACATCTTCGTGTCTTCTTTGAAGGAGCCAAACTGACTGACATCTATTTGTGTTGGCGAAATATCTCCTCCCAATTTCCTTTCATCCAAAGCCAGTGCTGGTTGCGAATGCATGGCTTCCATGTCGGTTTTCTTTTCTGGATCGAAGTCTTCCTTGATTGGTATAAAATCTGTACTTTTCCCTTCCTGTTTGTCTTGGTAAAGGCCAGTAGAGGTCATCCCTGACTCTGGACTTAAGTGGTCTGGAGATCCTGGCTTTCCAACCTTTCCTTCGGCACTTAGGAAGCTTTCATAGGCAGACTCAGACCCAATCAGGGGAGGGCTGCGTAAGGGAGACAGAACCTTCTCGATAGGAGATTCTGAATCGGGCACCGGCTCATCCATGGGGCTGATGGAAGCTCTTTCGTTCTCGTCTTTGGCCTCGCTGAATTCAAAACTCACGGGAACTGCCGGTGCTTTCTCGGACGGGAGGTGACTGCACTTCTCCTCGGTTGGAGACTGGTAGTAAGGGGTGTGACCAGCACTGCCGGTCACCGACTGAGATGGTGACACCACTTCGAGAGTCTTCTCCTCAGGACTGGCACAGTGTTCCCCAACGACTTCTTGGGTCACCTCAGGAGACACTGGGACTGCCTCCGCCTCCGTAGAGACTTTAATCTCATTGGGCGTCAGAGAGAAGTTGACACTACGCTCACCCAGGGGGGTGGTCTTCTCGATGGGTGATGGTGGAGATGGGCTCAGGGATGGGCTCTTGGCGGGGCTGAGTCTTTCATCCGGAATTGGTGAGACAGAAGCTCTGATGTCCAACGTGGCACTGGTTTTCCCTTCTTTCTCTTCAGAGCAGTAAGCATCGCGCAGGGCCGATTTGCTGAACTTGTCTTCCTCCATGGAGGAGGGTGGTGATATGGTAGATGCCGAGGCGTTGTAATCCTTGCCGTCGGTGGCATCTGTTTTGGACCCATCAGATAACCCATTGAAGGATGCAACTGCAGGCTTGGGGTATTCCTGAGGATACAGTGAAGACTCATATTTGGTGATGTTGACATACTCCTGGGAGGGGGACTCCGTGTCTTCATTGTTGGTCTCGTCGCTCATGACATCGCGGGGAGTGGACATCTCATCCATTGGGGTGGGCTCGCTGGAGATCTCAATAGTAGACTGCGTGTAGCCAGAAGTGGCTGTGAATTCTTCGGGCTGGTCTTCTCGATTCTCCTCATCGGAGGCTGTGGCCTCACTCTCTGAGCCTCCAGGCAAAGTCTCATCATGAATTGAAGATGCAGGTTCGCGGCCAGGAGACTGGGCTCCGGGCTGCTTGGTGGTGGTAGTGAGGAATCCATACTGGTCCTCTGTACCGCTGGCCTCCGCGGCCTTGTCCACCACGGCCATCACATAGTCTTCAGCTTCGAGTTTTGCAGGCTCGTAGTCTTCCTCTCTGGCATCCTCTGCCTTGTCTTCCTCACCTTCCTCCTCCGACAGCTCAGCTTCTCCCTTCTCAACTGCCTCGTCCATGTCTTCCTCTGCTCGGTCATCACCACCGCTGGCCACAGACTCCCTCTTCTTCTGGAGGTGCACGTCTGCCTCCACCCTGGCGCTCTCCTCTTCCTCCAGCGGGCTGTGCTTTGAGATGCTCTCACATACATTTTCTTCTCCGTCCTCTTCCGGCTCCTCAGCCTCCTCTGTCTCTGCCTTCTCTTCATAGTCTCCCGTTTCGGAGGATTCCTCAAAACCTGCTCCTTCATCCTCGAACTTTTCAATGTCCTCCACCCCCTGCTTCTCCACCGGCTCCAGCTCCTCTGGGGTCTGCTCGCACTCTCCCTCGCCTTCGGTGGTCGTGATTCCCTCATCGGGGGACTCAGCAGGACCTTTGATGACTTCAGTCTCTTTCTGGATGACGTAGGCTTCCACTGGCTCAGTTTCCTTTAGCCTCTCTTCACCTTCCATGAGTTCTAGCTGAGGCTTGATGTCTTTTGCCACATCGATCTCTTCGGCCTTTAAGTCTTCAAAGTCCTTGGTGAGATCCTCAGGGGATGACATGAGGGACCTCTCAGCTTCCAGTTCTTTGGCGGGGCCGGTGGCTGCCATTCCAGCTGCGGCTGCAGCTGCCGCGGTGGTCACTGTGCCGATGGCAGTAGCCGCAGGCTCTGCCGTCTTGCTGTCCTTCTTCACGACTTTAATTTTCCCTTTATCCTTGAGCTTGCTGGCAGGAACAGACTCTTTCTTGATGAGCTCCTCCTTCTTGGTGACTTTTGGCTTCAAAGCAGCTGGTTTTTTAGCTTCCGATAGTGGCGTTGAAGGTTTTTTTACATCTTTAGGGAGTTTCTTGATTTCTTTCTTGGGTTCCTTTTCATCCTTTTTAATTTCCTTCTTTTCATCTTTCTTAACTTCCTTCTTGGCGTCTTTCAGTGGTGTTTCCTTCTTAACGTCTTTCTTGAGCTCTTTTTTCTCTTCTTTCTTGACTTCCTTCTTGACTTCCTTTTTCACCTCCTCCTTTTTGGGCTTGTCTTCCTTCTTGATAGGTGTTTTGTCCTCCTTCTTGACTACCTCTTTCTTGGGCTTTTCCTTCTCCTCTTTCTTTTCTTCGGCTTTTGGCTTTGTTTCCTTCTTTATCACCTTGTCTTTGGTGACTTTGGGTTTGACGTCTGTGGCTTGCTTCTCAGCTATGTCGGCTTTGGCTGGAGGCTGGTCTTCTTTGCTGGGCACCTCCTTTTCTGTCACTGGAGGTTTGGTCTCTGCTTTCAGTGGCTTGTCTTTTTTCACTATTACTTTTTCTTTGCTTTCAGCTTTGGGGGTCTTTTCCACTTGGCTGGCTTTGACAACATCAGGTGTTTCTTCCTTTGACTCTTTCCGTACTGTTTTGCTGACCAGTGGTTTTGCAGCTGGTTTCAGACTCTCTCGGCTATCAGCTCTCTGCTTGAGTTTGACTTGTTTCACGGCAGGGCTGGGTACCTGGCCAGTGAGATCTTTTTGGGTGGCCAGCGGCTGCTTCAGAAAGTCTAAATGTTTGAGTTTTTCCAGTCCTTCTAAGATATTGTACTGGGTGCTGTTTCCTGGAAAGAGAACTCGAATGATTTTCTCAGCAGGGTTAGCCGGATGCCATACAATGAGGGATGAGACTGAAGTCAAGTAGGAAATTGGGATATCTACTTCTTGGCCATTGGGTAGAATCAGTTCAGCCTTGTCTTTGTTGGTACCAGTCCACTGCTGCATAAAATACTGCATTTCCTTACTGCTCTTGACTGGATTAAGCACATACATCTCGAGTTTGCCCACTCCCATCTTTTGGAAAAGGATGACAGGTTCAATGGCATTGCCTACATTTCTAAACAGAGGCTCTGGTTTCATGGACAATTTGCTCAGATACTGGAGAGTGAAGCACGCTTCTTCGATGCTCCTCTTCATCTTCATGTTGGGCTCTGGGTTTTTTAGGTTTTCAGGTACGTTGAGAAATACAACGCCTAAGTCGGGGGAGATGAGGTTTTTCATCCAGTCACTGTTGGTAGTGGAGCCCTGGGACTGCTCCTCTTCCAGCTCTGCGATCTTCCGCTGCAGCATGCTATTGATGCCAGGCAAGTTGTCATCCCCAATGTGGGTGAGCAGGATGGAGTCCACTCGGTCCAAGTGCCGAATGAGCTTCCAGAAGCAGGATTTTCTTTCGGAGCCTCCATTGATGAGCATATTGAATCCATTCACTGCGAACAGGGCGGAATCACCCCGGCCGCCTGGGAAAATGTAACAGCAGGGCTTGGAGAGCTTTAGAAATCCACCCGAGGTGGGAGGCTCCAGGATGTCAAAGGGAGATGGGACTTCCACAGATTCTGAGAGATACTCGGTAAACTCAGAAAGTCCTTCCATTTCCGGCAAGATAGAAGCTGAGTTGAGTTTAATATTGATGAAGTCTTGGAGATTGTGTCGGTCAAGATTGGAGTTCTTCCAGTCCCCTTCTTCAGGACAGAACAGAGTTAGGCTGGCTTTATTGGCAGGATGGGTGGTGCTCAGCAACTCCCCAATCTAGATTGAAAAGAAAAAAGGCAGAAAAAAAAAAGGTTTATGTGGCTGCCACCATTGGCCCATCTATTCCCAGTGATTCCAGGACCCTTGAGGGCACTGCACAGAGGACAAGTTTCCAAAAAGCACTTGTGTAGCACTGCTGGCTGTGTAAATGCTGACACAACTGTGAAGATGAAGAGCCCCCCTACTTCCCTCTTCTGCCACTGCTAACACTCTTCTTTCTGACCCTTTCTCCATATCCCGTGGCCCAGCAGGGGAACTCTAAGGCTCTGCTCTACTTCCAAAACCAGTGACAAATGATGGGTGTTGGTGCCATAGCAGTTATAAAGTGCTTTGAATAGCTCTCCTGGATATTTGCAAAGATACCCTTTAAAAAAATATTAAGCTATCAACTGTTACCAGTGGTTCATGCTTATAATCCTAGTGACTCAGGAGGCTGAGAACTGAGGATTATGGTTCAAAGCCAGCCCAGGCAGGAAAGTTCATGAGATTATCCAATTAACCACTAAAAAGCTAGAAGTAGGATGTGGCTCAGGTGGTAAAGCATTAGCCTTGAGCAAAAAAGCTCAGAGACAGTCTCTGAGTTCAAGCCCCAGGACCAGCACCAAAAACACCACCACAAACAACAACAAAACCCCACAAATATCATCAACAACAACAAATTATCCATGGCCTGTAATCCTAGCTATTCAGGAGAGTGAGGCCTGGGGGTGGCAGTTGAAAGCCAGCATAGGCAGATAAAGCTGAGAGAATATTTTCAATTAACCAGCAAAAAGCATGAATTAAAGGTGTGGCTCAAGTAGTAGAGCACCTGTTGAGTGAAAAAGACAAGCAAAAGAAAGGAGGCGTTGGGGCTGGGAAGGTGGCTCAGTGGTAGAGCGCTTGCCTTGCATGCCAGAGGCCCTGGGTTCGATTCCTCAGCACCACATAAGCAAAAAGAAAAAAGCCAGAAGTGGCGCTGTGGCTCAAGTGGTAGAGCGCTAGCTTTGAGCTGAAGAGCTGAGGGACAGCGCCCAGCCCAGAGTTCAGGCCCCATGACTGGACCCAAAAAAAAAAAAAAAAAAAAAAAAGAAAGGAGGCCTTGAGTTCAAGCCCTAGTACCAGCACACACATGAAAAACAACAACAACAAAAATAAAATATATTAAGCTATCACAGAGAAAGACATGCGAATCAGGTCACCATGATATAAAACGTTTACTTTCAACCTACTGAACTCCCCTCAGCTTCCTCCCCTCAAAAGGCTTGATGGACACATTAAAGGAATTCCGGTAACAGTTCTCTTTTAAGAATTCAATAGGCACAAAAGACTAAGACTCAGTAGGCTTTTCCCCTGGAAGACAGGAAGTTATAGATTGCCCATTACAACAAAAAAATTACTAGTTTCTGGCACCAGTGCACACTACTTAAAACATAAGAGGTTTACCCAGCAAGACTTCTGCAAATACCAATGCTCTCACTGAGGCTGTGATGATTGAAGTGGTTGAATAATTATACAACCAGTGGCCAGATCATTCCCCATGGCTCAAGTTCACATCCAAGGTGAGACATTGCTCTCTCTCTCCCTGCTTCCATTCTCCTCGGAAGAAGCTGAGGATGGGTGGCTAAGGCCACATTTGGCTTGAACATTTGCTTTAACATGCTGCTTATATTTCCCAAAGATGGGGATGTGGATCAGGGCATCGGGACCAAAACAGCAATTGTGGTTTAATAAAAACACTACTTTCTTTCCCCCTTACTCCTTATTAAAGCCATATGTTTCATGGTCTTAGTTCAGCAACCAGCAAAGGAGAAGCATACCAGAAATTCTTTGTTTCTACAAACTTCATCAATCATCTTACAGTGTATTGACAAGGACTCTAGATCCTCCATATAAATGTTAATGGGGAAAAGCAAGGGGTCTGTGAGGGCCAGAAATTTCTGAGCCAATGAGCCTCAACTTTGAACTTTTACTCTCTTGTTTGTTTGCATGTAGGTGTTGGGGTTTGAACTCAGGGACTTGTACTTGTTAGTGCAAGTGCTTTACTATTTGAGCCACACCTCCAAGGCCATTTCACTTTAGTTATTTTTCAAGTATGGTCTCACACCCTACATAGAGGGGTATTTCCCCATAGCTGTTATCACAGACACACCTCCACGCCAGGCTTGTGAATTGAGATGGAATCCCACTAACTTTTTGCCCTGACTGGCCTCAAACCTTGATACTCTAGATCTCTCCTCAATGACTAGGATTACAAGTATGTGCCACTACACCTGACCATCTAGTCAGGTTTTACTTGTTTCTAGTCTTAGAGTTGTTTCCTCTGTCTCCTTAGTTCTATAAGATTCACATTCTAAGGTCACATGTGTGGATGTAAGGATAATGTATGGAATCTGAATTTTTCTAAATGGCTAGCATTAAGAAAGTTATTTTTGTATTGTTAGCCTATTTGTCCTAAGCATAACATGTAAAAGACCACAAAACAGCAAACAAATTTTCTTCTGACTCAACTTCACAATCTCCCATAAGAATGAACTCCTATTTTGGAAGCCAAGCAAACTGAAAGGTAGTCATTTAATCTTTGCTTAAATTACTTGCTGTTCAAAGCATACATGACTGCCAAATCTAGATCGCTGCCCAATAATTAACATATAGACCTTCGTCAACATTACTCAAGTACAATGGAGAGCCTCTCAGTGCTGACTTCTGCAAATCCAACTATTCATATTTTATAACACATTTTAGGGGACAAATCCAGGATAAATCAAACTGCTGACTCATTAATAGAAAAGCCTGAAAATTAAGTTTTTGCCCATCTTAATCTTTGAAATTCCACTCTAGCTGAGCAGTGGGGCAGTAAATGGTCTAACAATCTAGCTCTGTGGGGTGGGAGGGTGATCACTAGAGCTCTAGCTGTGTGACACAAGCAATCACCAAGTTCAAAGAGAAAGGACCATCTCATGGAAAATATTCCATTGTTTCACTTCTACCCAGAGAGTTTCTAGGAAATGCAGAAAATGATTAAAAAAATAAAACAAAGTTGCACAGAATTCTTAGGAAGCCATGGGGCATGGAAAACCAATAAGAGAGATCTGTCAGTGGGAATCAAGAATGCTCAAGGCAGAGCTGTACTGCTGAACAAGTTGTTTTTGGTTTTTATTTTGTTTTGTTTGAGGGAAAACTGGGTCCTTTTGGAAAAATAGCTGAATGCAGAGACAGGACTGGCAGTAAGAGAGGCAGTGGGAGGGGCAAGGAAGATAGAGGGAGGACCAGCCATTCCACAACAGAAACAAAGCCCCTATGGGCTCCAATAGCTTGATTCCAGGCTAGTGAGTAACAAGCACCCTGGAGAACACTGTGTCTGAAGAGTGCCCAGCCATGGGCATGCTTAATCAACACTGATTTGATGAGTGGGTGCAATCAATAAGGAGGATCTAGCAATGTTAATCATGGCAAGGAAACCTGTGGCCAGTTCTTAGAAACTGAAGCTTCTTTAAATGAATAACAAAACCATCCTAATAGTAATCAGTAACTGTTAGAGTCCACTGCGATACAAGTTTCTAGGTTAGTAAGACCCATCTTCTGTATCTTTGCATCTCAGTCATCTTTGTTTCCCCAGTACATAACTAGGCTCTGTATACCAGGCTGAATTGCTCTAACTTTGTCTAATTTAAGACTTTCTGTCTTCCTGGAGGGTGCACTTGGGAAATGACATGAGCTTGCTGGTGCTTATCAGACACTCTGAAGTTCCCGTGGTTCTAACAAAGATGGATGGAAGGGCTGGGAAGGTGGCTCAGTGGTAGAGTGCTTGCCGTGCAGGCATGAGGCCCTGGGTTCAAATCCTCAGCACCACATATGCAAAAAAGGCCGGAAGTGGCGCTGTGGCTCAAGTGGTAGAGTGGAGTGCTCACCTTGAACTAAAGAGCTCAGGGACAGCGGCCAGGCCCAGAGTTCAGGCCCCATGACCGAAAAAAAAAAAAAAAGATGGATGGAAGATGGGTAGGAGAAATACTGCTCTGTGGCCATAGTCATCAGTTTTGTGAATGACCTGTCCTGATTAAATGCAGGCATACCGGAAGAGGAAGATAAAGGAAATAAATGGCCTGACTGCAAGATGACATTAATGACACAAGATTTGAATTTCTAAACCATGGCTTTCTAACCACATTTCCTTTTGTTGATTAGTTTAGTTACTGGGCTAAGGAGGAAATACTGTAGACAGTTACTCTTGGGCTTTAGCAAGACATTTAATAGACACTGGGAACCGTGTGATAGCGGAATTAGGTGGGCTGGTGGGCAGCCAGATAAACAGTGCTATTTAGTGTCAACCTTGTGCAGGGCTGTGATGAGCTGCCTCCAGGGCCTGCCTCTGTCCTTGATGAAAACGGCCATGCTTGTCACATGCAGTGGCAGAGAACAGGGGCGGAACAGAATGAGAGATGGCAGAATTAAGGTATTTATGAAAATTTCTGGCAGTGGGATGATCACAGCTAAGGCATCTCTAACAGGATGGCATTCTAACGGGATAAAATCAAGTTCATCACGTGGGCAGAGTAAAGTATGGGTCTGGGCGATGTGGCTTAGCAGCAACAATCATGGGGGAAAAACCTTAGGGATTTTAGTTGACAGTCAAATGGATTTATCAGGAAGTAAAGAAGCTTAAACTTCAAGGACTCTTGCTGGCTTGGTCCTCAACTAAAGCTCTGTACTTAATCATGTTTTAATAATGGTATTTTCTGTCCCTTAACAGGAGCCCCCAAATTATGTACATTGCAGAGCTCCTCAAAGCCTGCTCATTTTCCTTTTCCACTGACGTGTAATCATGTGGAGCGGTGGCCAACAGTTACTTTTAGATTTAGTTAATAAAAGGCTGCATTGAAAGGTATAGAAGCCATTGACTCTTGCAATTTTAATCAGGTCAGATGATTTCTGGAATATTGTGTCTAGTTGAAGTCATGACACTTTTATAGTTATGTTCGTGTATTAACTTGTTTATTCTGTTTGTCCTTGCTAGGCAAGTA